CTTGCTGACCTCTTCAGCAGTATCTGATACTGTTGATTTCCTTCCCTTCGTAGGTAGTGTCTCCTCTCCAGGTTTTCATGACACTGCTCTTTCCTGGTCCTCTTGCCATGTATGTGATTCCTTTCTGCCTTTCAAACTCTTTGGCTGGATTTTAATCCATGTCACAAGACATACCCACTGAGAATGGGTTTCATCCAAGGCTTTTTTCCAGGCCTTTTCCCTATGTATGTATGATCTCAGTTCCTGATGATTCCAAAATCTATACATCCCCAGTCCTAGTCTCTCTCTTGAGCTATATCAGTCCTATGCTATCAACTTGCCTTTTGAACATCTCAAACTGGATATTCCATAGGCATCTTAAATTTACTATGCCCAAAACTGAATTCATGATCTTTCCCCAAAAACCTTCCTCTTTTCCAAAGTTCCCTATTACAATTGAGTGCACCACCATCTTCTCAATCACCAGTCTTGTTAACCTAGGTATCATCTTTGACTCCTGACTCTCATTCACCCCACAAATCCTAACCAAGTCCTGCTGTTGAAACATTCTCCCCTTTCTTCTGATAAACCTGATGCGAGCCCTCATCACTTCAAACCTGGACTACTGCAATAGCCGCCTGGCTGGTCCTTCCCTCAAAAGGCTCTCTTGTTCTAATCCATCCTTGACTTCACTGATTCCTATCCTTCTGTTATACTGGCATCAAAGCTTTACCAAACAGCCTTCCCAAATTACTATATTCACTTGATAATTTTATTGAATGTATTTATATACTTGCTTACAATCTCCTCTATTATAATACACAATCCTTTACATCAAGATTGTTTCTTTTTTTGAATCTGTGTGCCCAGAGCCTAACACACAGTAGGCATTTAATAACATAATTAAGTCAAGTCTCCTCTCTTACTCTAGGCTTTACCTTCCCAAAGACCACTCCTATATATACTGTTCTTCTTTAGATTGCTAGGAAATGAGGGTCATTTAGCATTATGAATTTCCTAGATACATTGATGTTCTGTGCTTTTACATCACTATGATTTCTCCTGCATCCATCCCCTCCAAAAGAGATGTCAATTATGACAAAGAATTGTTTTTACAGAGGAAGAGAAAAAAATCATGCAAACCAATCAATACATCCAAAAAAAGATATTAAATCCAATGCTCCACACCTGTCCCCCTACCCACCTCTAAAAATTTTTAAACACGTATTTCTACTATCACTCACTGCCTAAAGAGAGATGCTCTGTCTTCTCTTCAATTACCTTTTCAATGTTAAATGTTAAACACACACACATGCACATATACACAGAGGCACTGAAGCTAAGGGAAAAAGCATTAGCATAAATACTGGTTTGGCATAACTTATATTTTTCTTACACTTACGGAACTGAAGAGCTTGCAATCCTCCCCTGCCTCACACGCTTTGTAAACATCAGCAGAAAACTAGTTCTATCATCAGCAAACTGCTCAGGCCTGGCTTTGAAAGTTGGCCACTGTCACCTATCACATCATGAGCTTTCTGATTAGGAATAACTAACTAGTTTTGACTTTTTAAAAAAGAAAAAAAATCACTTAATAAAAGTCAGACAATCCAAGCGTAGAATGGGCTTAACCTTAGGCTGCCCTGTTGGCCGGCATACCTGACAGATATCTGAATATCTTATTTCAACAACTGGAAAAGACAATTCACTCAGAAACAGCCCTGAAAAATCCATTAGTTCAACATATTTTCCCAGGCCTTTTCAACACACCCACATACACCCACACACACAGTGTCATAACAAAGATGTGCCTATGGGCACCAAGTAGCAGTAACTTTCAGGAAGGCAATAACTAGTGAAGATCTCATTTTAAATTTTTATTAAAATTCTTCCTTGTGCCTACAATCTGATATCTTTTTGGCTCAGCTTAATTTCTTCTGGGTTGGGGGTCCCATGGCAAACTACATGGATATTGTTAATCAAGGCATCATATCACATATCCCATTTGCTTTCCCACCTAGAACAACTAAGGCTTAGGCTGAAGCAAAGCACTCAGCAACGCAATCTACTTTCCACCTCAGCAGGGCAGAACCTTGGCCTGCCAGCTTGCATGATACAACAGCATAAACATCTTGCATTTACCTTCGCTGATAAATTACTTTAAGGGGGGAAAAATGTTTCATTTTGCTGCTGTCCCACTTCATGTGTTAAAATTTAATTTTTTGTGCCCTGAAACAAATTAACTACAAAAGGTTCACTGTTCAATACTTGTCACAAATGAAGAGAGGGACATTGTTTTCCCTCTGCTTAAGACAGAACCCTGATGTTTAGGGGAACAACAAAAGAAAAGCCCAGATATTGATCTGTAATTTCCATTAATCAATGTAGCTCTGCATGAAACAAGCTCACCTGGAAAGAAGCAGGATAACGAAGAATCACAGAGTTGGAAGAGATTTTTAGAAGATCAAATAAGCCAACTCCACACCTGCACAGTGGATGGAGTGCCAGCCCTTGAATCGGGAGGAACCAAGTTCAAATGTGACCTAGGACACTTACTAGCTGTGTGACCCTGGCAAGTCACTTAATCCTGTTTGCCTCTGTTTCCTCAGCTGTAAAATGAGCTAGAGAACAAAAGGGCAAAGTGAAATAAGGATTCCAAATAGAAACAAAAACAATAAAAAGGATCTGAGGAGGCTAAGGAATAGAGTTGTGTTGGAAGACTGGAAGGTAGAAAAATAGGATACAGAGGAGAAAGAGAAAAAGGACCACTGAACACTTGAACTGAGGGGAGATAGAAGAAGCAGCTCATAATACCCCAAGAAGAAGAGTTAAAGGAATAAGACAAGAATAGTGGGGGTTGGTGATTCATGGACGAGAAGAGGTTACTGAGGCTGCCCTTTGTCAATATGATATTAATAATAATGAAGTCAGTCTGTTGTCTCCTAATTCATGTATCTAGGAGGCAACTAAGAACTTCCCAAACCTGGTCATCCCAAACCTGATGACAATCACCTACCTCTGGCTCCATTAATGGGGGGGGGGGAGAGACAATTTATATTGCCACAAGCTGAGAAGTAGGAACCTTTTTTTTTTCTTTTGGCTATGCAACGGGGTTAAGTGACTTGCCCAGGGTCACACAGCTAGTATGTGTTATGGGTCTGAGGCCGGATTTGAACTAAGATCCTCCTGAATCCAGGGCCAGTGCTGTATCCACTGCGCCATCTAGCTGCCCCGAGAAGTAGGAACCTTGAAGAAGACACTGGGCACTGTGTGGTTTTCATAGCTGTTTCTAATCAAAGTCAAGGACTTCAAAACAGAAAGCAGAATTTGTGAAGTGAAAAGCTGATGAAAGAAAATGAAAAGTGGCCAAGAATGAGATTTGGATTTCTGAATTATGGGGCCTAAAAAGTAGGGATGATATCTCAGGGCCAGGGATGAAATATGACTGACCAGGGTTGGTTAAAAAAGGCATTTTGTCTGGAGTCTTGCAAATCAAAAGGCTTTAAGTAAAAAGAGGGAAATACACGGAAAGCCTACATATAGCCACCAGGTTAGATATCTGGAGAGGTGTTACAATGTGGAAAGAACAGTAGTAGACATGACCAGATGAAGGTATCCAAAAAAGAATCATAGCTTTTGAGCTAAAAGGAACCTTAGAGATCATCAAGTTTAACCTTTTCATTTTACAGATAAGGAAACTGAGGCAAACAGAGGTTTAAGTACCTTATCCAGGGTCAGAGTTAGTAAGTGCCAGAGTTGAAATTGGAACCCAGGTCTTTCTGACACAAGTCAATTGCTTTTTTTCCACTACACCACAATACCTCAGACACCCAATACCATGCCTTAAGAATATAGCCTCAGTTATCTAACATAAATGCGTAAAATATAGGTAACAGACAAGTGAATTAGGCATCCTAATAAAAGTAAGCCCATTTGAACTCAAGGATATCACTGGCACCCAGTGGAAAGAGACCTATGTCTGAAATAAGTCTCAGGTCATTTCTTCTTTGAAAGGAAGGAACAAGGCTGGTTGAGGGATGGGTGGGTAGGGAGAAGCAAGTATCATTTTATTTTAAGATATGTTCATCTGAGTGTATCTAAGAATCACAGGGAGAAACAGTGGTAGGAAATACCTTATCTTGGAGCAACAGTGGAGGGAGAACAATAGGACAGAAGGAAGAAATAGATGAGTTTTTCAGAAAACCTATCAAGACTGACATGAAAACATGCTGTGGTAACAGCAGACTTCAATCCTCTGGCTATCTGTTATAGGCATTTTGCTAAAAGCAGAACAACCATTCATTTCTTGACTTAACAAAAATTAGTTACATCCTTCCAAAAAGGTAAAGAAACTGATTAGAGGATTTGCTATTGTGTACCTGAGTCTGACCCAAGTCCACACAAGCACGATTAAGAAGAGTTATTTATCAGCAATGTCATCTTCTAATAGAAAGGAATCCAATGGAATAAGATGTTTTCCTATTAATGGGGTATGTGATAGGATACGACAGATATAAAAACTAAAGTGTCTGTCGATAGTATGTTCCCTGTGTCCCGAGTGATGCACAGTTACACAGCCTTCGTGGAGCAGGGCAGGAAACAGTTGTGGAATGACCAATCTGGTGTCCTAGATCAGGAAAGGAGTGGATTCTCTGGGACTAAACCCATCAGAGTACCCAACAGAGTCAGGAAAAGCAACAGGTTTGGTAAATAACCACTGCATCCTCAAACCAAAGGAGTCTTTACATGTGCATATTTTTACAAGAACATGAACTGCTCCTAAGTCTTTGTGCCTACTTTTGTAAACACTGGTGACAAATTACAGAATTTTAATTTCCAAAAATGAAAGACAACACTGTGTGTGTGTGTGTGTGTGTGTGTGTGTGTGTGTGTGTGTGTGAGAAAAACTAGGACTCTTATCCCATTCCCCCAGAGTTTTGTCCTCAAGTTCCATCAATGGTATCAAAATTATTTTATCAATATACTAAAATAAATAACCCATAATCATGAAAACATGATACCTCTTTAAGAACCAGCACGCATTTGCCAGGTCCGACAGATTGAGGTAGCTCTGCGATTCTTCCTTTGTTCAGGTAGGGGCCTGAGAAACACCGGTGGTTGATGAAAAGCTGAGGGCAGCAGTATTTCCCATTGACAGTACCTAAAGGAAAAAAAATCAACATGGCTTCTACTTGAGGCTCACAATTTTTGCGCATCAGAGAAGAACCAGAAATCCGTGTGAATTCATTGGGCTGGCAAAGCTCCCTGAAGAAGTCATCAGACATCCTGACTGATAGGGAATCCAGAGTTAAAAAGGGAACAAGTCTCAAAAGGGAATGTTTACTCCTAGAGAGTTTTAAAGAAGACAGGGCAAAAATCAAGTGGCATGGATTCTGGTCAAAATCTTGCAGAACAACTTGGAAAATATCCACATACAGAGTTGCAAGTTTTAGAGAAAATGTCCTCCTATAAATGCAGTTATGATTTTTATGGTGCAGAGAGAGATGAACTTAAAATTAGTAGGACCTGAGCAAAGCTAAGGCATTTACTATTTATGTGATCCTGGTCACTTAACCTCTCTCAGCCTCAGCCCCCATCCAAAAATGGGGGTAATAATCGAATCTACCTCAGTGTTATTCTAATGATCAAATGAGATGATATATGTAAAGCACTTTGTAAACCCTTAATGCACTATATAAATGTTAATTACTATTGCCGTTGTTATTATTAAAAGACAAGGATAAGTCAGTTAATCTTTCTGTGCTGTAAGCTGGCATTTAAAATAAAAACAAAAAATTCTAAATCTAAAAGCTGTAAGTAAGTCCCTGGAAGAATGCCAATGGGTAAAATTTGTTTTCTGGATAATTATAAAGGACATTATTTTTTGATGTGTGTGTATGGCAAGCAAAAAGTAATAGCTCATTAGGTAAGTTTACTGCTTATCTCCAGCAAGCTCTTATAATTTGCAGATAAAATTAAGTTAATAGCTAAAGCCTGGCTGAAGAGATTCAAATCAACTCTAAATTCTGAATTACACTGATGTTTCAGTTCAAATGATTTCCAGTTGGAATGGGAAATGTTAACAGATTTTAGGAAGGCTTGTTCTCATGAAGAATTCAACGAAGGACACAAAAGGTAGAGGGTATAAATGTTATTTTCCTGCATCTAGGAAAAAGGGAGTAAAAGAACAATTATAGACTATAAAAAAGTAGCTGACATGGTTGTTCGAACCATTCTTTATACTAAACTCTACACAACTGGTAAGATTATTAAGCCGGCTTTTGCATTTACATGAAAATTCTTCAGTAGGATTAACCCTGCCAAGACCTTCACAGAAAAATAATTTTAGTAAGTCTACCCATAAAATTATGCTTTTTAATACAAAGATAGCTTCAGATAAAGGAATCCTTTCAATGTCTTGCCGCTTTTAAACTTAGGATCTTATATTTTAAGATTTCCAAGTTTCTGAATCTCAGAGACTTCACAGCTGATACTTTATTTGGACAAAAAATAGCATTCCTTAACCCAATATTACCTAATACACAACCAGCACTATTATTTTTGTAGACTAACAAAGGATAGTGTACTGTAGCATTTTCAGAAAAGTTAAGATTTCCAAAAAGACCTCATATTAATTTTTTTCCAAAGAAAAAACACCTCTCCCAGCTCCCACACCCATGAAACCTATTGCCAATTCTCACAGTCAAGCTAAAGGAATAATAAAAATAAATCAATCCAATAATCAAAGAATCTATCATTCTCTAGCAAAAATGTGTTAATAGACAAAAATTAATACAGCTACTAATCAGAAGGTGATAGAAAAGGGAAAAGGCATCATTTAACCATAGAGGAAATAAGGGAAAAAAATTTCCAAGTAATCTCTAAAGAACCAGAACCAGCTGTAAAGATGAGTGAGACATTAGGATCTACCTAAAAACTCTACCTGCTACCCAGGGCATCAAGGAACAGGACAGCAGCTAGGCCCAGTCTGGCTTTACTCACCTGTTGTGTCTGGCTGAGGAAACGAACAAAGGTCATGAGGTATTTTCTCAACAGGCACTGTGGATGGCAATCTGTTAATAAAGAACAGAACACAATAAAACCAAACAAATCTTGCTGGGGACCTCGTGCTTAATTGGGAGAACCATGCCTTCCTATTCTCTGCGTATAGTGTTCTGAAGAAGTCTAGTGCCCTGGAAAGAATACTGGCCTTGGAGTCAGAAGAGACCCGACTTCAAACCTGCCATCGACCCTTACTAGTGGCATCCCCATGAAGCAGTCGCTTAACCTGAATCTCAGTTTCCTCCTCTGTAAAATGGGAATAGTACCCGTAGAACCTACCTGAAGATCATATGAGATAACATATATTTTGTAAATCCTAAATGTGCCATATAATTGCCAACTACGATTATTAATTTCCTGCATGAGATTAAGAGAGAACCTTAAGAGGGAAACCTGTGGCCACCCTAGTGATAGCAAGAAGGAATGTTTGCATCTTGGAGCAGGGTGAGTAATAATTTCGGAAAAGTTAAATTTAGAGGAGTTGTTCACCGTCAGTGTTAATCCACAAACCATCCTGTAGGTAATAAAAGGGGCCTGTCAGCCACATGCTCTCGTTTGCTACCACAAGATTTACCACAATAAATTGGAAATGCTGGGTTGCTTCTGATAAGACACTAATTATGTCAAGTCTATTTTACATTAAGTAAAATTGACTGATTCAAATCCAAATAGAAGCCATAGACATTATCATTAATGTCAGTATTGTAAGAGCTGTTGTGGAGGGCACAATGGTGTAGTCATGTAGTAGACAGAATATGCCCCAGAATCAGGAAGACAAGGGTTCAGTCAATCAGTAAACATTTAGTAAGTGCTTACTGAGTGCCTGGCACTGTGCTAAGTGCTGGGAATACGATAAAAGACAAAAAAAAAAAACCAGTCCCTGCCCTCAAGGTGTTTACAATCTAAAGAAGGAGACAGCACACAAAAATATATACAAAGCCAACTATATACAGGATAAATAGGAAGTAAAATAAAAGCAAAAAGCATTTGAGTTAAGAGGGGTTGGGGAAGGCTTCCAGTAGAGGTGGGATTTTAGAGAGGATTTAAAGGAAGCCAGGGAGATTGGTAGGTAGAAGCTGAGGAGGGAGAGAATTCCAAACATGGGGGACAACCAAAGCTCAAAGCTAAGAAAGGGAGTGTCTTGTCTGTACAGTAGCCGGGAGTGACTGAATCTAAGAGTACAGGTTGGGGAATAAAGTGCAAGATGACCAGAAAGGAAGGAGGGGGCTAGGTTATCAAGGGTTTTGAGTGCCAAACAGAGTATTTATTATTTATCCCGGGAGGCAATACGGAGCCACTCGGGTAACTGAGTTGAGGGGGAAGGGGTTGGACCTGCGCTTGAGGAAAATCATTTTAGTGGCTGAATGAAAGATGAATTGGAGGGGAGGGAGATGTGAGGAAGGCAAACCCACCATCACACTACTGCAATAACCCAGGATTCAGACCTAGCTTCTCAAATACAGAGATGGGTCCTGTAACTTCTGAGAACTCAAGAGGCCATTCTAAGGCTAGAAACTGAAGAACAGAATCTGAAGTGATAGAGGAAGCTTCCTAATTTGGAGTTTCCCATACTGATCAAATCAAAGGTCAAGTTAAAAAAAAAAGCCACACTTGTAGAACACTTGGAAGAACCTTGTGGGTTCCCCTATAGGGAAGATGAAGACTTGGGGAATATTTCGTTGGTGGTGTTTTTTGGTTAAAGGCTATTCATGCTCTTAAGTGAAATAAATGGCAGTATATGATTACATTGAACTGAGAATTTTCAAAGCATCTCTCTGGGTAATTTTTTTCTTTACTACCTTTGCAGGAACATTGAGCCCTAAATGTGGGAAAACTATTTAACATCTCTTCACGTCAATTACCTGCAAAATAAAATGGGAATGGCAAAATGAATCTATTTTATAGGGCTTAGTAAAAAATAACTAATCAATAATACTGTAAAACCTATTATGAAACATAATGTTATGAAACTGCTTTAAAATTGGGACATAAAGACACAGATTGAGTATATGATCATGTTTCACACACTTCAATTACAATTATTCAATGGCTTATTAAAAACTCCTACGGATAATTTTGCTAGCACAGGAAATAGTCCCTTCACCCTTTACCTAAATATCCCAATGACTATCAAGAAAAAAGGGCCATGAAGGCCAGGCATCTCCCTTATTCCAGTTATATTCTTCTAACAATTACCTCCAACAAAAATAGTTGAGGGAAATAAAACATGTATTAGCAACAGAACACTTTGCCTATACAGGGTGTCCCAAACTCTTACTGAAGTTTTAAGCTTTTGTAGCTTAAGATGGAGGTAAACAAATATTCCCACCATTCGTTAGATTGTAAGCTCTTTGAGGGCAGGGACTATCTTTCACCTATTTTTGTATCCCCAGAACTTCTCACAGTGCCTGGTACAAAGTAGGCACTTAATAAATATTGACTGAAATATTTTTTAAAGCACTTACACAACTTGTATCTCCTGCCTCCCTTTTTTTTGACCATAATTGTCATTTCATCAATGTGGGAAACCTAGCTGGTGTGGAAGGTCCCTCCACAGATAAATACTGGCAGTGTACCTGTAACTTAGAGCCTTAGAGCTGACCAGGGCACTAAGAGGTACCATGACTTACCCATGGTCACACAGCTAGAATGTTTCAAAGGTAAACCTTGGACCAGATCCTCTTAACTCAGAGACCAGTTCTTTGTCTGCCATGTCATACTGCTTGTCATGCCACCCCATTAATAATAAAAAGAATTCTGATACCAAAAAACAGGGACTGTTTTTTTGTCTTTTATCATATTCCCAGCACTTAGCACAGTGCCAGGCACTCAGTAAGCACTTACTAAATGTTTACTGATTGACTGAACCCTTGTCTTCCTGATTCTGGGGCATATTCTGTCTACTACATGACTACACCATTGTGCCCTCCACAACAGCTCTTACAATACTGACATTAATGATAATGTCTATGGCTTCTATTTGGATTTGAATCAGTCAATTTTACTTAATGTAAAATAGACTTGACATAATTAGTGTCTTATCAGAAGCAACCCAGCATTTCCAATTTATTGTAGTAAATCTTGTGGTAGCAAACAAGAGCATGTGGCTGACAGGCCCCTTTTATTACCTACAGGATGGTTTGTGGATTAACACTGACGGTGAACAACTCCTCTAAATTTAACTTTTCCGAAATTATTACTCACCCTGCTCCAAGATGCAAACATTCCTTCTTGCTATCACTAGGGTGGCCACAGGTTTCCCTCTTAAGGTTCTCTCTTAATCTCATGCAGGCCAAATTTACTCTATTCGAACCAATTATTGCAAATGATCTCTGCTATTCTTTTTTTTTTCCAGAACTGCGATATTGCACAGAACTGATGTTTTAAAAATATATGACATTTTACTTGGAAAAAGAAATGAAACAATGAGAGGAAAAGAAACTTTGAAGCCTGATTTGAAATGTGACCTGGTGAGTGAAGAAATGTACTTTTGGCCTCTCTCAATAAGCCCATAATGCAAAGCATACTGTTTCCATTGTTTTGACCTTTCCCCTCTGCAGATCCCATAAAATACTTTGTGTTCCAGCTCTCTAATATAAACTCTCTAATGTATTTATTACATAGTACTTTGAACCACAGCTGTATCTCATAGGCCTCTACTATACTGTAAGACCCATGAGGACAGGAGCCATGTCTTACCTAAACTTTGTACCTATCACTGCACCTACATTATTATACACACATGAAGCATTTCGTATTCATTTAACTGAGTTCTGGGAAAAAGAAAACCTTAAATTATTAGAGGAACATGGCAGGGCTTGCTTTCAACTGTCTATTTCAAGAAATTCAACTGAACAGATGTTCAACAACTACTATGTACCAGGAAGCGTGCTAGGACTGGGGATGTGTAGCTCAGAAATCATAGTCTTTGTGCTCAGAGTTTAACATTATTACTATGTTTAAAAATATTCAGTATTACTTATTCAATATTCAGAGAGTCATTTCACAAGTAAAAGGCATGGAGGTGCTACTGGTCATCCATCCTTGTTTAGTATAATCAGCCACTTTGGTGGCTGACTTTAAAAGTTATCAGATTGTAAGCTTTTTGAACAAAACAAAGACCGAGAAACTTGATTATATGAGGTACAGAAAGCAAGGACGATACTGTAATGATGCTGAGACTGTGAGATAGATGTTGGTCTTTCTGTCATGGTCAAGTAACTGCTACCGATGCTCAAATTGAAGGCTTGTCTCCCTTCTACAATGGAAACTGAAAAGGACTTAAAGGATGGTCCTTTGTGCTCCAGGTTATCAGAGAGAATGAAGTGATCCTATGAAGGATGAAAAGGAGCTTCCAGTCTGGAAACAAACGAACCGAAAAAACCCTCAAAAGGCAAGGGGAAATTCTGAACTCTTTCAGGAGGTAAGAGGAAGAAAGATAGAGAGAGAGAAGGAAGAACACTGAGTATCTGGAGAGAAATAAAAGATAGTTCTCTCTGAAAGAGCAGGGAGCTAGATGCTCTTCAGAAAGAAGGAGCTGCTTATCTTCCGAAGAATCATGATGTGGAAGAGGTCTAAGTGCATCTCATCTAGTGAAGGTCAGAGGAAGAAGAAATGAGTTACGTATGAAGAGAACTCTGTCCATCTGCTCCAACAGGAAGGAGCTCCACTGTCTTCTCAGGACATGTATTCAGGAAGGGACCAGGAACTGTCCAAGCATCATCAGACTTACTGACAACTACCCACTTTGAATGATTCGTGATAATGCCAAACCCTACAAAAATTCTAGACCATGAATTTTAGGCCAGGAACCAAAGACCTTAAGAAGGAGGATAAGATTTTCCCTCCCAATCACTGTTGGCAAAGACTTTAGGAGAGAATGGTGGATTTGGAAAATGGTAACTGATAAATGGATTTGGGTTTCTGGACCATGGCTAAAAAGAGAATTAACAGCATCTTGGAGAGGGATGAAGGGTTATCTAGCAAGGCCTAGTTTCTTAAGAAAATGTATCTACCTGGAGTTTTAGAAGTCTAATGAAGGAACAAGGATAAGAATTAGATTTGTGATTTTGTTTACATGGGGAACAACTCCCAGCTGAGGGAATTTCTCCTACCACTGAAGGCTGGCACCTTCTCTACAATTCATAGTTTTATAGAATTATCTCAGGCACGGAAGGGCTGGAGGACTAACCCAGAGTCATACAGTCATAAACTGGCAAGATCTGTACACCTCATCATGGCTCTGAGGCTGGCTCTCAACCACGTCTCTCCTACTATAAGGGCTTTAAACTGAAAAACTGTGAGCTAAATGAATGAGCATTAGCATCTGTTCTGCCATTGCTCCCAAAGATCCAGCAGCTTTTACTATCTGCCCTGCTGCTATGTCCTCCAGACTCCAGATTACTGACATCTGACCCTAATGACTCTTCAGATTTGTCATTTGTCCTACTGCTACAATTTAAACAATAGCTAACATTCATATAGCACTTACTATAGGCTAGGCACTGTGAAAATATTATGTCATTTAATCTTCACAACAATCCTAAGGGACAGATGTTGTTATTACCCCTATTTTGCAGATGAGGAAACTCAGGCAGACACAAATTAAGTGACTTGACCAGAGTCATACAGCTATTAAGTGTCTGAGGCTAGATTTAAACTCAGGTCTTCCTGACTATCTACTGCACCACCTGGTGGTCCCTCTCAGCAGCAAAACCCTCCTAGATGTACATATTATCTCCCATAATTTGAATGTGAACTCCTTCACACTGTCAAATTTGTCCATTTCATCCCAAAATTTCATAGGGGGTCCACCCAAAGGCTAAGGGCCTTCCTCCTGGGTACCCCTGGAGCATTCTGACTACCCACCTGTCATCCTGTGTTCTTGCCACATGACCAGCTCATCTTCTCTTCCTAACATGCATCTCTTCAGAGTTCATCACTGGCTCTATACTGGGTATAGCCTGTGTATATTTATCACAGGCCTCCTGGCTACCTTATGCGATACTCATTTTTAGTTCTTCTTAGGAAAGAGGATGTCGTGTGTTGCTGCCACAGGGTAACACCAGTAAAAGGTTGGTATTTAAAATATCGTCTTTTGCCTTCATGGGAAGCCTGGGGTAGGATCAGTAAAAGAAGTCTACAGTTTCCCCATAGCAACTCTTCTTGTTCAATTCTAGGGCTCAATTGACAACATGTTTATCAGAATTATGGATGTCACAAAGCTAGAAAGGCTAGCTAACACACTGGCTAACAGTCAGGATCCACAAAAGATCCCAGCAGGTGAACAAGATGAAATGGAATAGGGTAAAATGGAAATCTTAACACTTGGGTCCCAAAGAAAATCTACTTTACACATACAACACACACATGCTGCACGGCTAGACTACTCAATGTGATAAGAACTGGGAGGCTCAAAGGTGTGAAACAGAAGGTACCTAATGAGGTCCCTAACAACTCGGGGATCCTATCATTCCACATGCATAGGGCCTGGGTTTTTTGTTTAAAATATTCTAGATCCTGAAGAGCCTAGCCCTAGCAGAATGTTTTTCACTAGCAAGTTAATTAGCAGGTACCAAATAAATGAAGGAGAAGATGTGGTACTAGATTGGTCATTTTACTAGCGCTCTAGCAACTTCAGTTCAACTGCTTCTTACAACATCCCTCATAGGAAGAAATATCGATAGTGTGGTTTGGCAGGGGGTGGGGGAGTGGGGGGGGTCACTTACTGTTTTTCTGGTTGTACGACTGCAATCTTTCTCTTCTTTTGTACTAGAAAGCAGGCAAAAAGAAAAAAACTCCATTATTCTGACATTCAAGCAACTGTATCTATTATAAAAATCTAAGGTCCTTAAGTTAGCATTTTTAAAAGAGAATGGCTGCAATCATACATTAATTTTTTTTCATATAAAATAAGTTATTAACTCATCAGAAACATATTCTAAAATAGGACAGAATACATTTAATGTTATCATTGCATAGTGTGCTACATTTTGAATGTTCTTTTAAGAAAAGTCAGTGGAAAAACTCACTCACTCACTCATATTATACCATGCAGAAACATACTGTTTGTTGCAAGCATGATTCACCCAGACTGATTTTGTTTCCTATAAAAACTGTAAAGTTTGAATACTTTTGCTACCGTACTATAATCTCTGTTAGGTATGATTTTTAACTAAAACATATCTTTCTCTTTAAAAGAGACTGGTTGATAATACACTGTAAATTTGGTTGTCAAATATTAACATAAATGGACTGATTTTTTTTTTCTCATTTGAGGTATTTTCCTGCAAACAACCCATTTCAGTTAGATTTATTACTGTCTATTCTTCACCTTAATAAAATTAGTCCATCACTTCCTGGCACTTATTAATTTTGGCATAAACTAACTACATCTCCGCCTAAATAAACAGGAATTCCAACATATTAAAAGCTGTGAAAATTGGAGAAAAGTATAACATACTTTGGATTATTAATTATAAATCTTTTTTTGTGGTCTGCACCTCTGATGTCAGTGATATAGGGAGTTCTTGGTGTATCAACTCCATCTCTCAATACAGCATTACACCTTCTTTGCGATTAGAAACTCTCTAGCTTTAGAGAGGTTAAGTGATTTATACAGGGTCACAAAGGCAGTGTATGTTGAAGGCTAAAGTTGAATCCCTTTCTTCTGGATCGCCAGCCTTCTACCCAGTTTACTATATTGTGAGAGGCAGTGTCATTCAAGGGAAAGAGGACTGGTTCTGGAATTTAAAAACTTGGATTCAAATCCTGCCTCTGCTACTTATCACTAAGGAATCTAGTCATCAGGTTCTTCAGCTTTCAAATGAGTGTTGGCCTAGAAAACCTCAGAGGTTCCTTCCAGATCTGCATCTATGATCTTATGATCCTGTTATCCTAAATGTTAATTTATTTGTAAGAAATGAAATTGATAGTAACAAGGCAGGATCTGGAGATGATTAAAATAATCAATGAAACTTCACTTATTTTAATACTTAGTGTTCAGTGTCCATTACCAAAAATTACCATAAACTTTGTGAAATTCCAGATTCACTGAGTGACCCAGAATAACTTATAACAATCAATGGCCGTTAATAATATTAGGGAATGCAACACTAACACGGAAGGTTGCAATGATGGGAGAATACTATCACATTCAACTTTCATTTATGAAGCCTCTCCACTCAGAAAAATTCAAGTCTTTTACTCTCACAGAGGAAAATCAGCTAAACACACCAAATTCAGTGAGAATTTAAAATGTGGATCAAGTCAGTGACAGAGCTGGTACTGGTGAAATCTGAGACTGTCTATAAAGGCAAAGCTTTAGAAGTGACGTGAGAAATCTCCATCACTCTGGCAAAAACACCAGCTGTTGGGGATGAACTGGTTCTTCTCATTGCACTCCAGCAAGGTGGTGGGCCTGCAAGTGGTGGCAGTGGAGTTTCTCAGATGGGAATGGGAGGAAATTCAAAAGCCCCTTCATAATCCGTATTTCTTTAGTCTCCACGCTTAACTGCCCCTAACCATTAACCATTCACTGCAATCGCTCTGTCTCAAGCCCTCATTATCTCTCACCTGCAGTACTAACTGATCTTCTGCAGCCAGATTTCCTCTTTTCACACTGTGGCTCACACAATCTTCCCACCGCACCAGTGTGATCCCAGCACACCTCTAACTAACCCAGTGCCTCCTAATGCCCAGGGAAGAAAGTGTCAATCCCTTATCTTGTTACAAGAGCCTCTATATACAATCACCAAAAAATCTGACCAGCCCTAGCTCACACTATTTCCCTTTACATACTCCACGTTGCAGCTACATGTAACTTCTCTCTGTAGCCTTTATTCTCATTCCTCTGTTATCTCCAAATCCGTGCTGTTTGCCATTTGCCTCCCCCACCCACACAGACTATCTTCTAACACTGATCCCCAGCTAGGTTCTTTCTCCAACTCAGCTGCCACATTCTCAATGAAGTCTTTGCCAGGCCCTCTCCTTCCCAAGGGATCTTCCCAGCAGTTAAATTTCTCATAGCTCCTTGACCAGACATCTCGTTTTCAGTAACTACATTTGTCTTATAACATTCTTATTTAACCCCATTAGAGGGCACCTTACTTAAATCTCAGTGAGCAGATAGGTAGTAGCAGATCTTTCTTTAGATGCCTGCTGCACGTAGTAGACAGCTGATAAACATTCATTGAATTGGGTCTACTTCTATTTTCAAGAACCTCTAAAAATGAAGATTCCCTGACAACTTTCAGTGACATATTCACATACCTAAAAATCGGCCCTGGGAAAGATAATGAAATTATGGCCCACTTGGAGACAAGAAGCCAACTCTTTAAAAAAGGACTCAGCATTCAGTCTCTGAGTGTAGCAACATTTGGGAAGGTTTTGATAATAATGCGTTAAGTAAGGTGTTCTGAACTTCGGATACAGAAAGTCTGATAGAAAAAGAAGTTATTGGCCACCATTTGACATTTATCATCCGGCTTGTAACTGCACCCTAAAGACCACCTGAGATTTCCATTCACCTATAGGAACAATCCTGCCTGTGTTGTCTCCTCCATTAAAATGTGAGCTATTTGACTCCAGGCACTATTTCTACTTTTTAGTTTTTTATCACAGAGAGAGTGGGCCCAGAGGAGGTAGGTAATTTTGTCAAGGTTGTAAAAACTAGTTAGTAGTATTTGAGGAAGCCAAATGGTATAGTGGGTGATAACATTAAACTTGGACTCAGGAAAGATTCGAGTTCAAATCCCTTCTCAGACAATAACAAGCTGTGTGACTCTGGGCAAGTCACTTCATCTTTCTTAGTTAGCCTTAGTTTTTTCATCTGTAAAATGGGAGTAATAGCATTTATCTCACTGGGTTGTCATGAGGATTCAATCAGATATGTAAAGTACTTTGCAAACCGTAAAGTGCTATAGAAATGCGACCTATTAGTAGTAGTAATAGAAGTAGTAGAATTGGACCTACAATCCATTTCTGGCTAGAAAAAGGTTGAAGTGAGGACCTCTGATAAGGAGAACCAATGCAGTAAATCCGGAACCTGGACCTCTGGAATATCTTTTTTATTTCCTTACTAGTCATGAACTTTCATTCTATTCATATATCTAATAGGTAAGTTTTCCATGTTTCTCTAACATGTTTATAAAACATAGCCTTTATAACTAGGTCAAATATGCATTTGGAGCTTATCTTAGCATAATATGTGAAGTAATGGTCTAAATCCAATTTCTTCCCTATTGCCCTTTCCAAAATGTGTCTATCATGCTCAAACTTTCCCTCACTGCCAGACTTCCACTTGGTATGAGAAGCTCAGTACATGGGAAAAGCACACACACACACACACACACACACACACACACACACACACACACTGACGATGGTGACAATAATTCTTGGGCACTTTACAGCAATATTGTATACATGTTCCATCTATAATGTAATGATCTTTTGCTCACGAAAGATTTTTAAAGTTAACATACATACGCTGCAGATAGTTGTGCATGTTTAATATATTTGAAAATACAGGAAACACAATAAATAAATCAATGCCATCTTTGCTGTGCATACAAACTTCTACTATGGTTGTGGAGAAGGAAAGGAGGGAGGGAGGGATGAAGGGATGAACATGTATTAAGTGCCAACTATATAATAAATGTTCTTAAAATTATTAAGTGCCTACTATATACCTATTATATACTACTATATACCAAAGGCAGCTAGGTGGCACAGTGGCTAGAGAGCCAGGTCTGGAGTCAAAAAGACTCATTTTCTCGACTTAGTCTTAGATACTTCTTATTGTGTGAATGTGGGCAAGTCATTTAATCCTGTTTGCCTCAGTTCCATATCTGTAAAATGAGCTGGCAAAGGAGACTGCAAACCACTTCAGTATCTTTGCCAAGAAAACCCCAAATAGGGTCACAAACAGTCAGACATAAATGAAATGCTCACCAACATTATCTCATTTGATCCTCATAACAGTTCTGGGAAATAGGTGTTGTTATTATCCCCACTTTATAATTGAGAAACTGAGGATGATAGAGGTTAAGTGACTTCACTCAGCTAAGAATTGTCTGAGGCTGGCCTTGAACTCCAGACCTACCACTCTATCCACTTCAATAGCCAGATGCCTCTTTGCACTTCTGAAATGGCCAAGTGTCATCAATGTGAACTTTTTTTTTCCAGGAAGTTCCTGACTAATTTGTATAGAATATGAAGGGGCATGGCAGAAGAGAAAGACTATTGAACCAGGAATCAGAGAAGACCTGGTTTCTAGGCCTGACTGTCATTTACTAGCTGTGTGATTTCAGCAAGCTATTCAACCTCTCTGGGCCACCATTCCCTCATTCAGTCAAAAGAGGAAACTGAACTACATCTCCAATGTCCCCTCCATGCTTGAACAATGTTAATTCTCTGACCTCTGAAAGGCATGGAAAGCATGCTGGGAATGACAAAAAAGTTTATATTTTCTTTAGATTTTTTTAAGGCAATTCTAACATGCCACTTCAGCATGAATCCTTAGCCAAAATCAAGTATCCTTGAATTGATGAAAATAATAGTTTTCAAGTTATTTCACTTTTGTAGTAAATCTCTTTAAGATTTCTTGTAGCATTCTTTGAGAAATTAAACACAATGCTCTGCAATGTATGTGCTGTTATGGAACACAAAGGGCAGGAACAAAAAGCAGGATTAAATTGTCTCAATTTTGACACAGCTGAATATGTTGAAACAAACCAGTCTCCCCATGTCCAAGAATGACAAATCTTATTGATGATTCAGTGTTAAGCATTTTGACTAACCAACTGTTTACAATAAGAAAGTAAATCATTGCAACCAATTATGAATCTTTTAGAGAAAACCTGGTGAGAAAAATTCTCCCCTTCCCAACAGCAACAATGTAAAAATATGAAATAATGACATAGATTTCATTCAGAACCTTTCAAATCTACAAACTGGACAGAGAGACTAATGACAGTAAACATGTAGTGAGAACGTCTGGTGTCCACGTAATTTTTTAATATTTGTAAAAGCACTTGGCTCAGTGCCTAGCACATAGTAGGTGTTGATAAGTGCAACCTATTCCTTTTCCTCCAACCTGACCCTACCATTTCCAACTTGTGAAATAATTACTGCTTGATGTTATAGGGATGAATAAAAAAAAAGGGAATTCTTTAGCTCTCTGGGAAATCAACTGACGGTAATTCACGGTATGATAACTACTTCAAAATTGGGATGAGCTTCTATCACATAACTAGGCATACTGACTATACTTACAAACTGCTTTATGTGGTGGAGTTAAGGGATAAGCATTTGCTTCACACCAGCCAACTGGGAAGATGTCCATAGACTCTACATCAACAATGTACTCTGGAACAGGAGGCTGCAAGCCTATAGGGGAAAGAGGCAGTGTCATTAATTACACAAATTTAAACATTCCTCACCAGTAAGAGAAATGAAGTTATAAAAAATAACAGTATCTGAAGAAATGGGCTCCTCAAAGGACTAGGTAATACAAATCCTTCACAATGTCAAAAAAAAAAAGTTACTAGGCTTAATTTGGCAGATAATTCCTGTTTTTATCAGGAATGATTGCACGGATCCAGTTCACCATTCATCTACATTAGAAACACTGACATGAAAATGTTATCATTTATAATACATAGAGAGTTCAATTGTAACATAATTGTCCTGATAACCAGTTGCTCTAAATTTCTTCTAGACAAAGCTGTTGGGAAATAATTTACTTGCTTGGCATGCTACATGGATACCACTTTAAACGGATCCTCATATTTAAAAAAAAAACATTTTTGACATTTATCTACACTGAATAATGTCATAATTCTAATGGGGTAGGCAAAGAAATTATGAGGCCATCATCTCTTCTTCTTTTTCCTTTTGGGAAACCCTATGGAGAATCAATAAGATCATTTAACAACCTTCAATCTCAGTTTACATAGTTACAATTGCTATTTCATTTATTATTTGTGGCATAGTTGTAGCATCCTTTCATTTTCATATTGGCAAAATATGCCATAGGAAATATCATCACTGAATGGCTGGATCTTAGAGTTAGAAGGGCCATCAGAAATCACAAGATTATGGGGTAGAGTCTAACAGATCAGGATTGAAACATCCCAAATAAATCATCAACTAATCACTGTCTGTAGATGTCCAGTGATGGCAAATGCACCACCTTCTATTGCAGCCCATTCCACTTTTGAACAGCTCTAATCGTTAAGAAGCTTCTTCTCATATTGAGGACCAATGCCTTCTTTAATTTTCACCAGTTGCTACTATTCCTTCCATTCGAGACCTCTTATCCAGTCCTTCAAATAACTAAAAGACAAGTATTGTGTACACCACCCCGAAAATCTTCTCTTCTCCAAGGTAAATAAAGACTGTCCTCCAGTGATCTGGCACCCCTGTGGCATCAGAACTAACTATATTACATAAAGAAACTCGCAGTTTCAGATTCTGCTCTGTAGAAACCATCCTGCAAAAATGCATGTGAGAGAGTTCTAAGGTAGGGTAGTTAGTTTAGGCTTTTTAAAGCAACACTCACAGAAATGACCCACTAACGACATACATGAACTCTATAGTTCACTCCTGGAAACTAATTGAAAACTATTTACATTAATTAAAAAATGAGATTAGTGGGGTTTAATGGTATGACCAGAAAGAGGAGAAAAGAAGAATTAGATCTCCTTGTCACTTCAATGCAAACAAAAGACATAATTCCAGAATCTCACTACTCTTTCCCAGTTAATCTAGGAAAGACACCATAATAAAAAAAAATTTTTTTTGGACAAATCCTACCCAATAAAACCTGTTCAATTCTCTCCCTGAGGCCCTCAGATAGAAGCTGCAGGTATGTGCATAGACTGGCAACAGAATATCAACTTTGTTATTATTATACCTAGCTGACTATCTACTATTATTCTTTTCTATTCCAACCAAGAACGTTAAGATTTAAGGCTGAAATTAAATAATAAAAATTAATAAAGCCAATCCTAACACAGAAAAGACAATATCTCAAGAGAAATGCTAACTTATCACAATGACTGAAGTCACTTAATAAATTCTTGATTTGTGGTCTGCCGTTTCACTGATATACAAAAGCAGGTTTGTGTAACAATGACTTCTTACAGGATTCTTAACTACCTCATCCTGTTTCACAATGGTAATTTTGCTTAGTTATGAAATGAGGGTAACAGTTGGGAAAGTTCAGTGACTAAGGGGAAATCTATGTCAAGTAGATTACTGGTAAAACAAGTTGAGTATTTAGTAGATTTTTTTTTCAAATCAATAATCATCTTCCAGAATGCCCATATAGAATACTTGGACAGAATCCCAGTGAATCTTGGACCACAGATCTGAAGATAAGAGTTCTAAAAATAGCTAGGTGACTGAGTCACTAACTCAAACCACTTAATCATTCTGTGTTTCAGTTTCTCCAATGAAATGAAAATGATATGGTGAAAGTCCATTATAACATGCTTATGATTATACTCACTCTACTATACCGTGAATTAAATGATACCCCCTCCCCCAAACCAGATAACTATATGAAGGAAATGCCTAACATAACAATAATAACTTGATAACCTATAAAAAAGTGCTATTCTTACTTCCAAATATTCATATAAGTATTTCCATCCATTTGTTTCCTACCTTTGATTCACTACAAAATAGATGGTTTGAAGACTGAATACATCAAGCAGTCAATTAACAAGAATTCATTAAGCACACCAGAACTAAATCAGCCTTTGCTCTGTAGGAACAGGGACTTCTAGAACATTTTCACAGACAAAAATACATAAGACTGATGCAAAATAAATGCATGGTGACTGGAGATGGGAGGAGAGCCTCTTGAAGGAGGCAGTAGCCACTAGACCTGATCCAAGCAGGCAGCCATCGGTTTCCTTAGGCAGAGGTAAGGAAGGAAGGAATTCCATGGGAGTAGGGACCTATTCGAAGGTACGAAAGTGGGAGATGGGTAAAGCATGTATGGAACAGCAAGTATGTCAGTGAAGCTGAGTGCAGAGTACGTGAGGGGGAGTAATGTATAATCAGTCTGGAAATACAGGTTCGAGACAGACTGTGAAAGGCTTTAAATACATCACTTAGCAGAGCATGTGCTCTTAACCTAGAGTTAAATAAAGCTACTGACATAGATAAAATCACTCTGAAATATGAGTCAGGTCCTCATATCTACATATATACATTACCATTATTATTAGTTACCGTGAACTTTCAATTTGTTCTCAAAGGCACAAAATTATTATAATTATCTTTCAACTCTGACTTTCTTTGCTCAAGTCTGCCATAATTTGATGGGCGTGTAAGTTTAAGCAAAAGAACAGGTTTTCTAGAGCATATTTTTTCAACAAAGAGCACTGATTAAAAAATCATTCCAGTCCAATATCTAATTCAGTTGGCAAAAAAACAGTATCAAATAATGAATCAAAAAATGCCTGTAAGTGAAGCAACTGCCCAAACAACTGGTCTAAATTAATGATACCAAGATGGAGAAGTGACTCTTGCTACACTGAAAATCCCAAAGGTGGTCAGTAAGGTAAACTCTTCAATGTCTTTTCTCCTTATAGAAACTGTTTATCTTCTTATCCTCAGGAAGACACTGCTAAAGGGATTTAAAAGAATAATGTAAACACTGCTTGCTTCGGTATTCATTAACCACCAATGTCCAGTTGTTTGATTGATCTATACGACCAAATCTGTACTTTCCTACAAGTAAGATGTACTATGATCAAAGGATTTTACATTAAAGGCAACCTTTGTGGGCAACCAAGAATGGGTTTATATCCTACTCTCCACTCGATTTTTTTTTCTAATCTTATCACTGAATCAACCATTTAGAGTTTTACTATCTGTATTTATTTTTCTGTGTCACACTGAATCTTTACACAAAAAAGGATTTCATTATGGTCACTCTATATATGTTAAGGCCACCTTCCTTTAGCTCTAAAAACCAAGCCCTTTAAGCTACATACCCATGAGTCACTCAATAAATAATAACTGAGGAAAAGTTCTATTTCTTTTATGTAAATGCTCATTTAAAGGTCAGATTAATGAAGGCCAAATTACCTTCAGGAAGTAAAGTAAGGCCCTTCCTGAAGTGATGGGGCCACTTCCCTCTTAATAGGATAAAAATAATAAAAAATCTAAGAATATTTTCTGATGCAAGAGCTATATAAATGATCTTGCTAATTGCTATGGTACATTTTTAGACCTTAAAATAGTTCTATTCTTTGACATGGGAGGGGAGGGGGCTATGTCCTCAGATCAGCTGATATTTTCAACTTCCAAAAAAGCTCTAATTGCCCTTCCAAACGCAATCAGAGCATCATGGTATCATTCAAAACAACTCAGGATGAGAACAGAATTCAGTCTAGTTCTATTCAGGAAGTAATTCAAGTAATACTAGAGCAAAAAAAAAAAAAGACAGCTCTGTATCCTTTTCAGGCATCTGTTAAGCTGCAATTATGAGCCAGGCCCTTCGCTAGGTCTTGGGGATACAAAGGTACAAATAAAAGAGGACTCCCTGCCTTCAGAGAGTTCATATTTTTTCTCTGTTGTACATTCCTCTGAGGGACAATTCACATGACAGTATGAGACTATAATATTCAAGAAAGCTGCCATAGCGAGAGCAGAAACATGTGAGAGGCAGAGATGATTAAGAAGCAACTTCAAGGGGAAAATAGACAAGGGTTATCACATCCATTTAGAGTCACGAAATTTAGAGCTGAAAGGGACCTTAGACACCATTGAGTAAAATCTCCTCCTACTTACTGATGAGAGAAAGGTAGGTCAGATGGGTAAAGGGGCTTGCCTATGACCCCACAGCAAGTTAGTGATAGCACTGGGACAAGAAGCTGGGTCTCCTGACTCCTTGGTTCAATGCTTTTTTAATTATTCCACAATCTTCTCCTCCTTATAAATCAGTTCAAAAATCAATCTGGGATGAATAAAAGCTGTTAATTTAATTTCAGCTTCTAGCTTTATTCTTTACTTTCTTGGAAACCAAAGGGAGCTCCAAATGTGCATATGTTCAGCAAAAGTAGATGCAAAGGAATGAGAAAACAAAACAGTAAAAAGTTGTCCTGCAAAATGGAATCATTTCATCCTCTTGCCTTGCTCTAGCACTCCCCAACAGTTATAAGTACAAGCGTATATTTTGTTGTTTCTTGCTCTAAAGACCATGCTTTCCTCAGACCTCTATATGACATATTGGGAACTATGGAGTCAACAGGAGGAAGAAAAAATATGGGAGAATCAAAGGAAACTTTCATCAAAAGAAAATGCTTTAGGTAGAAAAATGATAAAAGGGAACAACCATACTAACCCTCTTAGCAGAGGTGACAGCAGAATCCGAAAAGGGGTGGGAATGAAAAAAAGGGAGAAATGAGAAAGGTAATTACTACTAATAAAAACGGGTATAATACATGTCATACAAAAGTATATAATTAGTTATACTGAATGCATTTAACTTCATCAACTAGTTGCCTGCCAAACAGGTTAGTTTAACAGGCATGTAATGTCTTGCATTATTAGTTTATTAAAAGAAAAAAAAATCTTCATTTTTGTTTTAGGTAACTCTAAAAAATACGATGTAACTGCCCGACTTACTCACATTCCAAGATCCTGTGCACTCCATTCATCAAACATGTTAGTGATGAAAGTAAGGGAAGAAGGACATACAATCCTGACTTTTGGTTGTATAGATTCCAGACTCTCTGAATGTCATCAATACATGGATTCTGCCTTGCAGTCATACATGTGTTCATTCCCTTAAAATTAATGCTAAAAAATCAGTTTCTGTAATCTTATCATATGCCAAAAAGTGACCATTTGATATTAAGCGAATTCTAGGAGTGAACAACATCTTACTTCTCTAACCCCATATTGCTAGTTAGGCGCAGATCACAACAAGCATAACCGTATAGCTGACCAGCTCACAGTACAGCACCTTGGACACTCACCCTTCATCCTAACAATTGTTAGTTCAGATTAATTCCAGGGTTTCTTTAGAGGCACAGGAGTCATTCTAAGGCAGCACTGAACTACTCAGATTCTATGACAACGATGGTCTCTCCCTATAGTACATCTAATCACCCCATCATCTTAAGATTTGAATGGCTTAACTTGGTTGATCAGGAGCCAGCTGGTACCAAATTGGACCTTCAGGTCCAGCTTAATCCAGAAGAGAACTCCAGAGGCTCTGATGAAATCAATTTTTCCTTTACAGGTTGAGAAGTAAAGTATAATTTATCCTACTGATCAGCAAAATGTTACCTCACTGCTAAAATATACCAATGTTCTTTATGGACCATATGCCAGTCCACCACATGGCTCAAATGAGCCAGATACTCTATAACCCTAGGTCACCATTTCCTTAATGGCACCTCTAAATTCAACAATTGCTTGAATTTCCTGATGTAAAACATAAAGACTAGGTAGGTAGTTCAACATAAACACAAATAATCTCAAAATTGCACAGTAATTAAACTCTTACAAAACACATTGTTGGTATGCAGTAAATTTAAATTCATTTGGAAAGTATGTCTTCTCTCTTTTCAATGCGCCTAATCTGATTCGATCATTTTTATGTCCTGGCACCATTACTGATGTAGGTAGCATGAATTACTATTTGTTTTTCCTTTTACTTCTGTTTTTTCTTATAAATCAAGGGACTCGCTGCAAGAATACTTCATAAAATACATGTGTATTTCAATTTTATGCTGCTACTTCTACAAATAAAAACACAATAGAGATGAAATTAAGTCTGTTGAAGTTTAGGATTATAATTAAAGCTAATGTACACCTAAGGGAACTTTCTTAATACCCACTGACCTGCCTTTCAAAATCCTGCTTTTTATCTCATTTGGTCCAGGTTCCCCTTTGTGAATGTCTACAAATCTGAAGAAAGCAGAAGAATGAGGTAAGAATAATATTAATAATCATGAAAGTTAAAGGACCTACATGTCCAAAAATATTTATAGCAGCTCTTTTTGTGTTGGCAAAGAATTGGAAACTGAGAGGATGCCCATCAGTTGGGGAATGGCTGAACAAATTGTGGTATATGAATGTAATGGAATACTATTTATTGTGCTATTAGAAATGATGAGGCAGCTAGGTGGCACAGTAGATAGAGCACCGGCCCTGAAATCAGGAGGACCTGAGTTCAAATCCAGCCTCAGATCAAACACTTGACACTTAGTAGTTGTGTGACCCTGGGCAAGTCACTTAACCCCAATTGCCTTAAAAAAGAAAAAAAAAATGATGAGCAGGCAGACTTCAGAAAAACCTGGAAAGACTTGTACGGATTGATGCTGAGTGAGGTGAGCACAACCAGGAGAACGTTGTACACAATAACAGCCACTTTGAGCGATGACTAATATTGATAAACTTAACCCTTCCCAGCAATATAAGGATCTAAGACATCTCGAAAGGCCTCATGATGGAAAATGCTTTCCACATCCAAAGAAAGAACTATGGAGATTGAAAGCAGATTGAAGGATACTATTTGCTATTTATTTTTTCTTCTGTTGAGTTTTGTTTTCTCTTTCTGGCAGTTCCTCCTATTGGTTCTAATTCTTACTTACAACATCACTAATGTGAAAATATGTTTAATAGGAATGTAAATGTATAGCCTATATCAGATTGTGCACCATCTTGGGGAGGGAGGGGGAGAAAAATTTTAAACTCAAAAGCAAATGGAAGTGATTGTTGATAAATCAAAATAAATTAATTTAAAAAATAATCATGAAAGTTGCTCACATTTTTTAGTGCTTTAAGGTTTGATGAAGAGCTTGCTTTTTCTATTTATATATAAAGTTGAAGACACCTAAAAGCATTTACCAGGTCAGCTGCTAAAAAGAAGTTAATAATGAGACTTAGAGAGAGGCAATATGGGATAGCGGACACAGGGCAGGCTGTGAAGTAAGGAAGACATGGGTTCAAGGTCTGCCCTTGATACATATGGGCCAGGTGACCCTGGACAAGTCATAAGTTGTCTGTGTTCTAGGCAACTCTCTAGAACTCTACATCGCTGAGGAGATGCCACTCTGAACTGTCATAGGGATTTTCCCTACATCATTGAAATCACAGGCCCAGTCCTTATCTTTATGTCTTTATTGTTCACAAAGTGCTTTCCTCAGCTATACACAGGTGGTACAAGTATAGTCATCCTCATTTTACAACTTGCTAAAAGAAACATAATCAGCGTTGTCTTCATTAATTCCAGAAAAACATATAAACTGCATCACTTATTTATAATCCAAGGTACTTTCTATTCTAAGTTCTATTCTATTTCTATTCTATTCTATTCTATGCTATGCTATGCTATGCTATGCTATGCTATGCTATGCTATGCTATGCTATGCTATGCTATGCTATGCTATTCTATCTAAGAAGCCTTATTTACTTTTAATAACAACAGAATGGGAAGGGAGAAACTGTATTGACTTTTGACACCTTCTCTGAATTTTTCATAAATGGTTATATGACTTGCCTTGGGTATGACATTTACTAAAAGAAAAAAGGCTGAGAAATTCTGGCTTGTCCAGATATTTTTGAATCCAGACTCTGTGATCCAATGTGTTAGTTATGAGTCATGGGTTTTGTGTCACCTCCAAATCGGAAAGACCTGTTAGTCATTAACAAATACACGAAACAGCATTGCATCACAATTTAGAGCTGAGTCGAATACCTGAGGCACTTCCCTACAGACCTCCTTCCAAGTTGTCACTGAATCACGAACCTGAAGTGTCCTCAATGATTTCTAGTTTTTGTTGTTGTTCATTTATTCAGTCACCTCTGACTTTGTGACCCCATGGACCACAGTATGCCAGGTACTTCTGTCTTCCACTATTTATTTCCTCAGTCCGTCCAAGCTCATGTACTTTGGTTCCAAGACACTCTCTACACATCTCCTCCTCCGTTGTCCCCTTTTCCTTTTGCCTTCAATCTTCCCAACATGAGGGTCTTTTCTAGTGAGTCTTTGTCTTCTCCTCATGTGGCCAAAGTATTTCTAGTTACGGCCTAAATGAATTACCTTCTTGAATACTGAAAGAATTGGCAGATGTGAATGCTAAGTTGATAGACACAATCTTTGAAAGATCAGAGACAAAAAGGATGGCATTTCAGGAATAAAGAAGGAGACATCATGCTGATTTTCAAAAGAAGAGAAAAACTGACATCTATGAACTACAGGCCAAGGAGCTTAACTTTGCTTCCAGGAAAAATTCTAGAATATATTATTAGAGGGATGGTTTGTTAACATACAGAAAAGAAAAGTTGTGATCATTAAAAGCTAACATATTTCCTCAAGACAACGTCCTACCAAACTAATTCTCTCAGCTTTATAAGAAAATTACTTGCACTAGTAACTCAGGGAAATACTACAGACTTACTTTACTTTTAATATGTCAGAACATGTGGTAAAGTGTCTCATGCTACCCTTGTGGAAGAGATGGAATAATAGGGGCTAATGGTAATACAGTAATGTTGATTTAGAGTGGTTTCAATGACCAAACACAATAAACAGTCATTAACAGACTAGTGTCAAATTGGAAAAAGGTCTGTAATGGAGCATCCAAGGGACCTATCCTTTAGCCATTTCTACTGAATATTTCTATCAATCATTTCTATAAAGACATGGAAAGTACGCTCGTCAAACCTTCAGATGACACAAAGCAAGGAGAGTTAACAATCAGGATCCAAAATTATCTCAACAGGCTAGAACATTGGAATGACGTTTATAAGATGAAATGCAATATATATAAGAAGATATAAATCTATATAATAATAGAAGAAACAAATGTATATAGATATAAAGCTATACAGACAAATAGATGCAAATATGAACTACATTTAGGTTAAGAAAATTAATTTCATAAGTACAAGATGGGGGGGTCTAGACAATAGTTCATATGAAAAAGATCTTGGGGTCTAGACTATAAACTCAATATGAGCTAATAATTCAATCCCTCAAGCATTTACTAAGCCCTTAATATGGAGCAGTTACTGTATGATATGGCAGCCACAGAAGCTAATATGATCTTAGGCTGTATTATGAGACGTAGTGTCTGTCTTCTGAACACATCTGGAATACTGAGATCACTTCTGGGCACCACATTTTAGAAAGGGCATTAACAAGATGGAATCTGTCTAGGGTATAGCAATCGGTGAATAAAGGATCCTCAAGAACATGTCATAAGAGGTGCAGTTCAACTGACGAGGAATGGGTGGCCTGGAAAAGAAACCATTTATGGGAACACATAACAGCTATCATGTACTAGAGATAAGACTTATTCTGTTCGGCCCCCAAAAGTAGATCTAGCAAGTAACAGGTGGAAGCTAGAAAGAAATAGATTTAGGATTGATATAAGGAGAAACTTACTAATAATGAAGGCCATACAAACAACTGTGGAATGGATTGCCTAGGCTAGGGATCTCCAAGCTGAAGGCTGGAGATGCTGGAAGGAGGGAATTCTTGTTCTGAGATATTACACTAGACAGATGGTCACTGAGGTCTTTTCTAAACTTGAGACTCTGATTTTATAAACTCTTAAGTACCATCTTGAAACTATAAGTTATAAATCTTCTGTTTGTTCATGATTGCAATCACCTGTAATATCCATAAGCAGTTGTTTCAGGAGCACTTACTATATGCCTTACACTGTACAAAGTGCTTTATAAAGTTTAAAGTAAAAAGACATGGGTTTTGTGCCCTCCCCTCCCCATGAGTTTACAATGAACAGCTATAAACGATACAGTCTCACAAATGCCTGTCACTGATAGAACAGATTTTACTTATTTTACTGGGGGAGAGCTTTATGATGTCTAGACAGGGAAGTGACAAACCCAGGTTATAGTTCTGAGTGGGTTCCCCTGACCTAAGCTTTGATATCTCCCTGGTAGATGTGAAGGATTCTGCTCCTTGCATTTTGAAATGATTGATGTTTAAATTCCACCACGTGGATTTTGACTGACCAATCAAAGAGGGTCTTTGTCCCCATCTAGATATGAAAATAGGTAAAGACTAACCTTTAAATTCACTTAGTCTAATACCTCTACCTCAAAACCAAGGCAAAGTGGCACTGAAGTTGAATGATGCAGGATTGATGATCACCTTTGTATGACCTTACGCAAATCACTTAATCTCATCTGTAAAATGGGAATTAGCCTTGAAACCCACTGAGGTCTCTGCCCACTCTAAGAGCCACAATCCTCCAATCCACTGTTAATTCTTTCAAACTCTGAATGATCCAAGTCGTCCACAACCATGCGATATAAGATATACATCCAATTAATGCTAGAAGCGTTCACTTCATATGACATTCAGATCAATAAATAATAATAGCAAATGATTATGTAGCACTTCTGATTAACAAAGCATTTCACATCTGTTATCCCATTATTCATGAATACACATTTTCATTTATTCATGCAGAGTTCCTCTTCCCCTTTCTACTCAAAAAGTATGTCACTGATGTTTGTAGTAACTGACTAGCAAACACTTATAAATCCAAATGGGATAGAGCGATTCCTAACATTCCTCACATTTATGTATGATATCGATGTGGTCTTTCCTCCTGAAAATGGCAATGCTACAAAATGTTCCCTTTTTTTAGTTAACTCCAACCCCCCAAACAATCTTCATGCCTTACTTAAGACAGGCTTCAGCCTGGCTCCCAACAAAGCTATTAGCTATTCACTATAGAAACACATCCCTCCAATTATTGCTATAGTGACTCGCTCTCTATAGTACCTATTCCACTCATGAGTCTAAAAGACAGGTCAGCTGGCAGTGAAACAATCCTGGCCTCTAATGTCACCGGACCATTTCAGGATAACCAAGCCACTCAAATCATAAAAACAAACAAACAACAAACAAAAAACCTGGAAATACTCCAAAACTCTACCAGGCCTGACAGGCACTATCCTGTTTCCAACTCCACTTCCCAAACCATACAAGCACATAATTATATACACAATTAAACTTAATTCTGTGATGACCTGCTCTCCCAAAATGGCAAGGTGAAAAGCTCTGTCCTAGGTAGAAGATAAGGATGCTCCTGAGGACTCAAAGCCTATAATCCTGTTGATGCCTGATAATTTTTCAAGTTTTATTTATATAAACCCAACCGGTCCAATGCATGGATGTGAGCTCTCCAGAGCTAGAAAAGACTGCCTCTTGCCAACTTCAGCAGAGATTGCTGTTACATCAAGGAAGAACGTATGTCAATTCCCTGGCCTATAGATAACCACAATCTCACAAAAGAACACCTAACACACTACAGTTAGACTGCTGGGCCACTATCTGGTCCTCCAGATACCAGGACCCTGTGAAGTGTTGTGCATCCTGAAACAGTCTGTTGCTGAAACACCCACAGATACAGCTGTAGTCACTGGTAACTTCTCTGAATTCTATCAATGACCTCCCACTATGGGGTCACATTGTTACTGGCATGTTCTTCAACTTGTTTAACAAAATCTCCTAATTCATTCCTGCACAGATTCATGGATTCATGCCCTACATGCCCACTCCCATGTCTTTCCAACTTCTGTTAGAGCACCCTCTTCATTTAAATGACCTTCTTTAAACTTTATCGGCTGGGGTACCCAGTTTACTTTCCAATTGCAAAAGGCTTTTCTGAACTTGCAAGGCATAAATATCAATACATCTATGGCTTAAGACTGGTCGCCAATTTGAAAAAGAAACCATATATTTAATTCATACTTTAAGCACTTCCCAGGACACAAATAAAATCACTGGCTTGTCCTCTGAACCTTCACGGATTTCACACAAAATTGCCACCTTCATGCCTTTCATTCTAATTATGATCTTCCTCTTCATGCACATTTCCATTCTTCCTATCTTCTCACTGATGTTTACTGTTACTTCTGGGGGCAGACACCTGAGAAAGATCCAACTCACACTAACCGTGCTGCTCAACAAGGCCATCACTGTGAAGGAATGCCCCTTCCACAGGGGATGAGGTGCAGTTGTGGATTTAGCATGACTTGACTACAAAACTTATCCACCAACATCATTTACTTTGTCTAGCAAAGTCTCCTCATTGACTCCAGGTCAATATTCTCCTACTTGCTCTAGGATGAGTCAGTTGGGCCAATGTGTCTGTTCTCAATTTCTAGCAAAATAATTCCTCGCTCAACCAAATCTCTTTCTGGGGCCCAGCAAATCTAATCCTTAATTCCAGATAGTCCTAAGGAAGATAAATGAATGAATGAATGAATGAATGAATGAATGAATGAATGAATGAATGAATGAATGAATGAATAATTTACTTAGCATTTAGCATGTGTCAAACACTATGCTAAGTGCTGAAGATACAAATAACAAAAAAGCAAAAACAGTCCCAAGCCCACAAGGAACATATATTCTGACTGGAGGCCACAAAAAATGGAAGTGGAGACTAGAGAGAGGCAATTAAGTCTGGGCAGACAGGATGAGTGGATTGCAGAAGAGAAGATTTGACACACCCCATCAAAGAATAAAGACAAAGTGGACTGGATGGTTCATGGTTCAAGAATCAGGAGATTAAGGGGTGGGGGTTGGAGTGGCGGGGAGGAAAGTAGTACTGCAAGTAGTACCATGAGAGGAAGACTTGATCTCTGACCTTAATAAAGTTACCTAACATCTCCAAGCATTATTTTCTTCACTGTAAAATGGAGATAGTTTAAAGGATACCTATCTGTCTACCTAGATATGTATGTGTGTATTTGCATGTTTATGTCTATATATAGGTATACATGGACATACTTACGTGTATATGTATATTTTTATAGATATATATGCACACATATGGATATGTAGATATAGCTATAGAGATATATGGGAAAAACAGTGCTGGGCACCCACCTATACCCTTGCACAAAGTACCTTGTCCTTTAGCCTATTTGGGCTTCTTTAGAGCCCCATGCCACTTTTTCAGGTTGTGGTGCTTTTGGGGATATTCTATTAAGTCCCTCATTCTCTACACAATTCTACCTTCTGTAACGCTCAGTTAGGATCTCCCTTCCCCCTCCTGTCCTCCTTGATGCTTCTGATCTTCTCTATCCCTTACCCTGAGTCCAAGGAGGAAAAGTGAATTAGGTAAAAGGGAGATGGAAGTGGAGGGTCCTCAAAATTACTGTCGTCTGTGACTTACGTAACTTGCCAACTTGAATTATTTTAACAGTGCAATAAATATTTCTGATGCCAAATATATATACAGGAGTGTACATATATTTATATGTGTATGTATACACATACACACACAAACACACCCTGTGATTCACTGGCTTTCTTGATGTTCTTCAAAGGACTTTCATTTGCTCCATCAATTCCTTCCTCTTGCATCGCACAATTCTGGCCATTTTCGCTGGCTGTCCCCCATGAATGGAATGCCCACCCTCCTCATCTCTGTCTTCTAGCCTTTTTCAAATGCCAGCTAAAATGCCACCTTCTACAGGAAGCCTTTTCCAATCCCTCTTAATTCTAGTACCTTCCCTCTACTGATTATCTCCAATTTATCTCATACTTAGTTATTTGCACGTTGTCTCTCCCATTAGGTGGGGGCTGTCTTTTTTTATAGCTTTCTCTGTATCCTCAGCGCTAGCACAGTGCCTGCAACATTGTTATTCAGTTGTTCAGTTGCATCTGACTCTTTGTGACCCCACGGACCACAGTACGCCAATACTGTCCATGGGATTTTCTTGGAAAAGACACTGGAGTGGTTTGCCATTTCCTTCTTCAGTGGGATTAAGGCAAACAGAGGTTAAGTGACTTGCCCAAGGTCACACAGCTACTGAAATCTGAGGCTGGATTTGAACTCAGGTCTCCACTAAACCACCTACCTACCTACCCCTCCCTGGAACATAGCAGGTGCTTAATAAGTATTTATTGACTGACTAATCACGTGGAAATGTACGTGAAAGCTGCTGCTATTCAAACGTACATTTTTCTTTCCTCACATAGGGCCCTGAAAAAACGAAAACGTTCAAGAGAAGCAATACGTCCTAAACATCAGCCACTGTGAACAAGGCATGGAATTCTGATTAGACTCTGGCTTGAAATGAAAAATGAAGTTTTTAAAAAGAGTCTAGGAGCATTTGTTCTCAGGAGACACGACCTCCAAGAGCCACAGATACACAGTCTTCTCCCTGCAAAGTGCTTCACAGCTACGGAAGACAAGGATCCATGAAGGCAAGCTGGTCTACTGAATAACTTCAGAGATTCCTCTGATCCACATTTACCCTAAAAAGAAATCTGAAATGTATATAAGGCTACTCGGAATTTTTCCCCCCAGTGCCTGGTTTAATGTGGCTACTATGCTGTTGGCACTGACAGAGTAAATATTAGTCATAATGATAACAGCAATGATGACAATAATAGAAGTGATTATCTAAAGCAAAATGTTTGTATAAAAGAAAACCCATTCCCAAACACAAAATCCCATCATCACAAATTGCTCTCAATGACTGTCAGAAGCTTTTATGAAACAGCTTGGAATCATTTCCAAACACACACCTAAAATAAAAATACCCTGCTCACAGATCTGTTATTCACTCCTCACCCTCCAACATCTGCTCCTTTGCGAGCCCTTGAAAGGATATGCAACTTAGAGGAGTCAACCATTATACCAAAATGATCATTTTAATTATCTAAAAGTGGTCCATCAACTACTCGGTAAAAATACTTCAAATCAATTTAATGCATAAAAATAACTAATATAATTAGTGACAAGCACTTTGCAAATTTTAAGTGTGATTTCAATGCTCCACAATCAGAAAAACCACCATCATAAAAATAATTCAACAGTCACAAAGTGACCAGAATGAACCCTCATTGGCTCCCCACCTTCCTGCCCCGGACTTAAGAAAAGAAAATGTGATAAATGTGAAGTTATGATTAATGAGAAGTATGATTAATCTGTCACTTCAAACATTAAATGCTACACAAGGGCAAACAATCAAGGAAAGACCAGCAGGAATTTTTGTTTTTTAAGTGACGGGTGAGAGGCCTGATTTTCCTTCAGCTTTTCAGTGGCTTTAAACCTTTCCGAACAAGGGCTAGATTTGGCCTATACAGAATGAATCTGGGAGCTTATCAGGGCAGATCAATCCTATCTGAGGTCTGTCGACATTCTCCAACAGATACTCCAATGAAAATTTATTCAATGTGTTACAGAATCTGGCCTCTAAACCATTTTACATACTGAAGGATAGTATCAGTGTGGCACTAAGGCTGTCAATCACAATATTCTTCCCTCTCACTACAGGGCTGGCCTATCTCCTTTTCCAATAATACATTCCTTCAGTGATATCCCTTATTCTACCTTCCTATGCACAGAGCATTATTGGAAATATGCTAAAACTACCACACATCTCATAACTTATTACTTTTAGTTGGATTCTTTGGAGGTTGTGATATTTCAAGATTTACAGACATGATGTCATCATGGAGAGAACTGTGTTGAATATATGCGGTTTTGTACTGACATTGTTTAAAATCTAGTACATTTTCCCCAAATCCAGCCCATTCTCCTCCTTCTACTCAATTCTAGAACCAACATATAACATCTAGGGCCCAGTCCAAACAGATGAACTTATCTACATAATTAATTTGCTGTTGTTCAGTCATTCAGTCATTAGTTGTGTCTGACTTTTTGTGACCCCATTTAGGGTTTTCTTGGCAAAGATAATGGAGCAGTTTGCCATTTTCTTCTCCAGCTCATTTTACAGATGAGGAAACTGAGGCAAACAGGGTTAAGTGACTTGCCTAGGGTCACACAGCTATTAAGTGTCTGAGGCTGGATCTGAACTTAGGAAGATGAACCTTTAAGACTTCAGGCCCTGCATTCTATCTACTGTACCACCTTGTTGCCTAGAATAATTAGTAGCTGTTTTTTTTTAACCCATTTAGTTTTACTTGTTTGGACTGTTAGGCAGATCTTTTTTCAGTAGTCATGGATCCCAATGAAAGAGGCCCTATGAGGGTTTGATTCAATAAGCACAATACCATATACCAACAGTAACATCTGGAATACCTCACCATCAATATGCACTCTCTCTTCCATTTGGACCTTGTAGAAGGCATCCTCCATGACTGAAGCAAACAACTTTGGTGATTATATATCTCCCTGTCTTAGACAGTGCCTGACATTAATCATCAGAGTCACTGAACAAAGATATCTTTGTGGCTATATTTCTCAAAGAATACTGTATGATTTTAACATATGCATGACAGACCCCTTCTTACAAAAGCCTTTAAAGATGAGCTTTGTTCTATCAAGTCAAATGCTTTTCTGTAATGAACAAACACACAATAGGATCTTGTTATCTGCTGCATATTTCAGTCAGTTATGCAACTGAACACATAGAAACTGCTATAAAGAATTATTTATAACAGCTTGCCTTTCCCCTTTTCTTATTTTCATCAAAGGTACCCTTAAATGTCAATCTCTATCATTCTTATAGTGGTTTTAAAAGGTGTGAGGAAAAAAGCATTTTGGGGACATGGTTATTGATGCCCTCTCAATCACCTTGTAGGAGTCATTATGTCAGCTGTGATTTTTTTGTATTCTTTTGGGATCTTTTCTTCAAAGTACCTTGTTGAATGAGCCCTCAATATTTTCAATACAATTATGATCTGTATCAGTATTCTACAAACTTTTCTAATTACGTATTCTTATCTGTAAACATTTTTGAGCACACACCCCCCAACAATGCATATTTATTTTTAAATGGCATGTACATCATAAAACGTGTGCAAAAATAGAAATTTTAAAAGATGCCATAAAGATGAAATAATAAGAATATTGTTCAATGATACAAACACCCTTTTTACTCTCTAAAAATACTATTTATGTAGTATTTTTTCAATGAGAACAAAGTGATTGGATACTTTGTGTGTGTCCTGTAGATTTGTAAATAATAAATGACAGCATTTATTCGGTTAGTTTAATCAATGTAGCTAACCTAGCATCTTAATTTCTTTTTTATATTTCAAATTATTTTTTTTACTGAATATCATACTATACAATCAAATAATAGATAACAGTCAGAAAACATAACAGCTTCTTAGCAGGAGTCATGTTTATAAATACATAATATTGATATATAATATATATAATAATGTAATATATAATATATATGTGTGTATGTATATATATATATATATATATATATATATTCACATGCACAAAGCAGAAACAAAAGTGAATGGACTGATTTCAACTCCACAGAAAGTCTTCAATATAAATTTATTCTATTTCTTTATGTGCTTCTACTGACATACATTAATTTCCTACTGATGTCTGGCTATTTTAGTTGTGTTTCTCTAGGAGTGTAAGAAAGCAGCAAGATCAGTTGGATTTCCTGAGTGCAGGACGGGAGTAATTCATAATTAGGCTAGAAAGGTAGGTTAAGGGCAGGCTGTGAAAGGCTTTAAATGCCAAAGAAGGGAGTTTACATTTGATAGTAGAGCCAAGAGGTAGCCAGTGGGGAGGATATGGTCAGACCTGCATTTTAGGGAAATCACTTTGGGAGGTACGTAAAAGATGGGAGTGGAGTGGAGAGACAAAATAGGAGACTATTCAATAGTCCAGGGAAAGTGATTAAGATTTTAATGAGAGTGCCAACTATGGAAGCTAAAAAGGATGGATGTGAGAAAGATGATGTGGACATAGGAAAAAACATGATCTGGCAACTGAGAGCTGAGGATGGCACTGAGGTTGGGACACTAGAAATGATGGAAGAGTCCTCAACAGCAACAGGGAAATTTTAAAGAGGAGTACCATTTTGGGGAAAAGATAACATAATAACATCTGCAATGCAGAGAACAAGCCATTCATGCCTGGTCATCTCATGCAATTCACTCTGTTTCATGTAAAATAAAAAAAGGGGAGAGAGTAGGAAGAGCTCTCACTCACCAGCCACTGACCTAGGAAACAGTCTTTTCTCTGAGAAGCTCATCTAGGACAAGGAAAAGGTATGTTGGGGGGTGGAAAGTTTCCCAATGGGCACAAGTATAGCTGCTGATATGGGTAGTCCATTTGGCTCATTATAACTGCCTCGAGAAGCCAACATCTGATGGGAATAAGTAGGAGGTTGGGAGCTTGCAGTGGCAAGAGATGGTGGAGTGGAGGAGGTACTAAGCCAATAATTGGTGTGCTGGAGAGAAGTCTTATGACTGTCAACATCTCACCCTCTGTCTGGCAGATCACAGTAGAAATCATGCCTTGGGGGCCATGCTATGGCTCCCATTTTGGAGATCAAGAGTCTACAGACTTCCTCAGTTTGTACTTGGTCTGATCCAACTATGTTTGCTATCTTCATCATCTTATGTACCATTTCTACTTCCTAAAGGAGAATTTCCTCTAGCATTAATGACAATAACAGGCTGTGAAACATTTGTTCCATTCCCCATAAGCTCATCTACAGGAGGACATCTATCAATACTCTCACGATGCTGTGGTATACAGTTGGGTTTTATACCATGCATTTTGAAGAGTTATCTTGCCTCCTCCATTTTGCACTATTTTACAAGTTAATGAGGCTCTGAACATTCCTCTGTAGAGCTCTGCAGGTATACTGGTATTCTAAATCAACGTAGGCCTTGACTGCTTTTCCTTTGGCATTTTGATCACTAATATGCTTTTAGACTCTTAATGCTTCCTTATTGCAATGAATGATTTACCACTGTTTGTTTTTGCTAAAACTGTTGGTAGTTAAGATCAATACTCTTATGTTTTCCATTTTCTGGCACTGATGGCTTATTTTGATATGTCAGGTTGAAATCATTATAACTGCATGTGGTGACCTAATGTTGATGTTAACCTCTGGTCTAAGTAGCTAAACATCTGCTGCATACATGCATGCATTCCTACATGGTGGATTTTGATAGAAATTCCCACATTAATAACCAAACATTTCCTTTCAGTTAGCCTATAATGAACTTTATTTTTTTTTGTGATATAATTTCACAATAACATCACATTATCATATCTTCATCACCTTCCAAGTCTCTCATGCAAGAAACTGCGCATGATACAAATGCACGAGACTTCCAAATAGTCTGTAAGCCTTTGGGCTTCTTTTGTTTCTCGAACCTGAGACATTTTTCAACATAGTTTTTATCATCTTCTCCTGTACCCAACTTTGCATTGAAATAATTATTTTAAGAGTTTAAAAACATAGGTTAGACTATATCACATTGCTTGCTGTCTTGGGAAGGGAGAAAAATTTGGAACTCACAATCTTATAAAAAATGAATTTTTTACAACATGACTATTATGGATATGTCTATACTGAATTACTTGCCTTCTCGGTGGGGGGAGGAAGGGCCAGAATTTGGAACTCAAAGTTTTAAAAACAAACGTTAAAAAATGTTTTTATATGTAACTGGGGGAAAATTAAATACTAAATAAATTTTTAAAAAGTTTTAAAAAATGAATGTTGAAAACTATCTTTGCATGTAATTGGAAAAAAGAAAATATAATTTACTAAAAAAAAAACCAAACATAGCTTAGAATACTAGATTCAAAAATATTCTTTTTAAAATATCTGTATATGGTCTAGGAAGCTGGACATTCTACTTTGCAAATCTAGTAAAATATTCTATGTTAACTAGACTTCCCATTAAAGGCTAGTGACCATACTTTGGAAATGTGAGGAGTAATTAAATGAAATATTCCAAAGTATAACAGCACACAAAGTAGGCCTACTAAAACAAGATGATTACTGCTTGAAAAATTAAACACTAAATGTTTCTCATAAAAGCTTAAGAACCAAAAGGCTATGGAATCTAGAGGACTAGGCACTGGATACAATATCAAAATCCTTGAAAATTGAATCCCAGGCACATCTTAATGGCTCCGTTAGCTTCTCCACCTATAAAATTCAGGACACTATTACTGCTGTGTTTGTTAACTAATTAACAGCTGTAAAGCACTCTGAAAATATAAGCTGCTAAATAAATAATGACTGCAGAGGAATTTTAAACATAATGTGTTAAATAATAATGAAACATGGGCTTCTAACTTTACCATTTTTGTTTTCAAAGAAAGAATGTAAACAAACCTTAAGCCTTAGAATACATGTTTCATCCCAGTGCAAATTAAATTCAGTGTTTTGGAAATACAAGAAAAATCTTATTCCTCCAAGGATAGCCAACTCTGTCCTAAATGTGGTAATGAAAACAAAATTCAATCTCTCTCTTCTGTTTAACCCTAACAGGCCATGCCATTTTGAGACGTACTAACTTGAGAAATTGGACATTTTAGAGGATTATTCCAGTATTCAACTGGACCTCAAAGTGCAGTATATTGATTGCATGAGCATAAAAGTCAATATTACAATCCAAACGACAACTGTCATTAAAATTAAGTGTTAATGAATTTTAAAGTATTTCTTGGGGACTAATGCTGCCAACACAAATAGAATTCTTTTAAAAAGCTAACGCCTATCACAGTTGCTTTCTACCTTTTCCAAACCAGCATTAGAATGTAAAATGCCATATGGCTGGGAATGAGACTCAGAAAACTACAGACCTACCAGGAACCTTTCATTTTATTGGACTTATTTTCTAGGGACACTAAAGGGGATGGGAGGAAAGCCAAAGATACTTCTATGAGCTTCCAAACTTTATGCTCAGATGTCAATGTTGTTAAGGCCTTCTAAGATACAAACCACAGATCTGGAGAGCCAAGATTATTCCAACACATCCATACAAAGTAGGGGTTTTTTTGCATGTTCTTTTCAAGAAGATATACTTATCCTATTAAGTTAAGGGTCTGAAATAACAATATTAGGCGTTATGGAAAAACAAAGTGCTGGTGAGTTTTTTTTAAAGCTCAAATCCATTCTAATTACTTCCTCCTGAAAAAGTGGCAACTAAAAAGTATAGATTTATCTCTAAGGTATCCAAAATCTCATTAGTGTTCCACTCTTCAGAAAATACAATTCTTCATCTTCCCAACTCGACTGATCATGTTTCTACCCCTACACCGAGCATACATAAGGAATGATCTATGCAGCACTGGAAAAATCCAGCTAAAATCCCATTCATTATACACCTGAGACAAAAGCTGATCCATTCTATTCTTTTAGAAAATATAAAACAAAACATCTACTAAAGATAACGAAGCAAAAATAATGCAAACAAATAAATAATGCAAACATGCAAATATTTTATCTAGATAATAAGACCCCAACATTCCAGTTTTAGTGACTCATGTTAATCTGATTGTAGCATTAGCTTTTATGATCATACAAGCAAAAAGACCACTGTGTTCCAAACATAATTATCTCACCAACATCTCATTTCATGAAATTATTAGTTAAGAAGAGAGGCTCAGAATGAATTTATATTTGATTAGTTTCACTTACTTAAGAATATTGAATAACTTAAGACTCATTTGCATAAAGCAGAGCAAAGGCAGGTGTTGCTGGGGAAGAGACTATTAGAAGAGCAGAATTCACATGCATACATGATAATGTTCTAAGTTTCTAAAAGGCTCTAGTTACACATACATACCTTCCAGGTGAAGCCACATCAACCTTCCCTTCACACTGATGACAGAAGCCACACAGAGTTCCCCCAGGTTCCTGGGGTTTACAACTTCAAGCTTCATGTTCTTTGTAAAGCCACGGCTGAATGATGTCTGAAAGGAAGCAAGTTGAGTCAATATGCACCAAGCCATGGTAAGATGGAGCAACTGGGCTATGCAGAGAGAAATCGTAAGTCTTCATTCCACCATCAGTATATCAGAGCTATAAAGAGAACTGGAGATTATCTAATCCAGGGGTGGGGAACCAGAGGCCTCAAGGCCACATGTGGCCCTCTAGGTCCTCAAGTGTGGCCCTTTAACTGAATCCAAACCACGAAGTTTCAGTCAAAAGGGCTGCACTTGAGGACTTAGAAGGTCACATGTAGCCTTGAGGCCGCTGGTTCCCCACCCCTGTATTCTAATCCAATCCCCTTCTTTTACAGATGAGAAAACTCAGGACTAGAGGTGACTTGTCCAAGGTCACACAAAAGAGTTAAGGGGCAGAGTTGGGATTTACATTCAGGTCTTTTGACTCATAGTTTCATAGTTTCTTCTACTTTGCCAGTTCTTGTAATACAGGTCCATTTCACTCACCAATAAAATAGTGGAAGAATGGAACCATTCCTCCACCTTCTTTCCAATATCCATTAAAACTGATAGGATACCCTGTTAGAGGGGAAAAAACTCACAGCTGGAAGCTAATTTACAAAGGATCAATAGCGAACAGCTACCTCTGAGTTTACTTTACTAAGCATTTAAGATGTGTCAGAGACCATAGGTCTTTGTGGCTCTTAGGTCATGCTTCCAGAGTTTCCTGGGAAGGCATTAAAAATAGACACACATGAGCTAGACCTGCCACACACCTGGCAAATCCCCAGAAAACTTGCACAGCTTCATGTGAGTCTAAGCATCTTGGCAGCAGCTAGGTGGCACAGTGGAGTGCTGGCCCCGAAGTCAGGCGGACCAGAGTTCAAATCTGGCCTTAGATGCTGACTAGCTGTGGGACCCTGGGCAAGTCACTTAACCCTGTTTGCCTCAGTTTCCTCATCTGTCAAACGAGCTGGAAAAGGTAATTGCAAACCACTCCAGTATGTTTGCCAGGAAAACCCCACACAGGGTGATGAAGAGTCAGACCCAACTGCACAACAAACAGCTTAATATTTGAGGACAGGAGTAAGGACAGGGCCTGGACCTATAACTTCTCCATCATGAGGCATCTCTGTGAATGGAGCTTGGCACCTTCATACCTTGTGGTCTTAGAAAGCAGTCTAGGGTACTGAGATGCTTAAGTGACTCATCCATGGTGTGTCAGAGTAGGACCTGAACCCAGTTCTTCCTGACACAGAGGTCAGTTATTTCCATCACATCATACTGCCTCTCGCTATCACCTGATGACAACCTATAATACTCTGAATGACATTTCACTCATAGACAAGAATAATGACACTTCACAAACTAATCAGTTGTTTTCATCACCCTCTGTCAGATGAGGATATTAACCCCATCATTAACTCCATTAAACACATGGTACTAAGAGACTTGAAAAAGGTCCCAAAGCATGACCTGATTTTCCAGAATCAAGGTCCAAAAAGATTGTAGGCAGATAATACAAGTACTGGCTAAATACAAATGAGATTTTTCCTTTTATCGTCCTTGAGCATGGTCTGTGGGCTCATGGCAGATACTAAGGGCATCAGTGGATAAAATCCACACCTAATTTCCAAACTTTACTCTTCTTGTGGATCTACTCCTGACTCCACAGACATCTTTCTCTATCATGCTCAGCATCCTTTTCACCCAGGAAGAGCCTTCCACTCTTGTGATCTCCTCTTCTGAATACTGAGTTCCTCCCTAATTCCTAAAATGAAAGTTCTTCCAGAACACCAGTCCCCCTGGTCTTCGGCTCCCTTTTATGTGTTATCTTCCCTCACTGAAAGTAAGATCTTTGAAGGCAAGAATTGTCTTTCTCTCTGATTATATTTGTATTCTTAGCACTTAGCATAGTGCCTGGCAGATAACATGCGTCTAAGAAATACTCACCATTAATGAACAATTTCAGTGTCATTCCTGGTCTAACCTTTTAAAAAAAACACCTGGTAATGAGAAACATAATTGATACTTTCTTTTTGAAGTCTATTCTATGTGAAGGTAATTAAGTGAGATTTCATAAAGATGGCTAACTCCACTGTGAGTGAACTTTAAAATTTGCTTTTGCTGTTATATTCAGGATAATGGTGCTGATCCTTCTCCACTCTTCTGGCTGGTATCATTTGGGGCCAGCGAAGTATTTTTGCAGACTTTAGGTGACAGTGTAAAAGTCTATATAATTAAGAAACGATCCATATTAATTTGTCCACACAGGATTCAAACCCAAGACCCTAGCCTTATTATCTAGATATGTACTAAAAAAAAAACCTGAGCTATCTGGCCACAGGCAAATACAGCATCTAGTATACCCAAGCAACCTTCCACCCAACTACTAATTAGCTCTGATTGTATTTAATTTCTTCTATTAAACAGGATTGGGACTGTTTAGAAGGGCTACTAATGAGTAAGGAGGTGACCAAAAAGGAAGCAAACAAAATAAGAAAAAAGGAAGAACTAGATAATTCACAAAATAAAATCGGTATCCGGATAACAGAGTTGCTCTGTCTTTATATAATGCCATTCTATTTTTCTCTAGCTCCACTTTGATTGCTATTAACAAATCCTATCACAGCTTCAGCATGCACATACTTACCCAAAGAAATATTTAACCCAATAAATTATATGGATATTAGAATATTTGAGAAAAGTATGCCTATCTGGCATTGTATGCCCACAATACAACTGTGAAGTAATGATATGGAATTGTCATGTGTGTCAGAGAAATCAGTCTCATTATTTTGTAATACCTCTGTGTGTCATTCAATTAAAGTCAAATACAGTCTTTAAGCTGAAAAAAATGAAACATACTTCCATGTAAGTGGAATGTCAAGTTATTTGCATCTATTTACACCTAAATCAATTGGTTCCATACTATTATTATTCTTTATGAAGTCTGACTCCAACACATTCCCTGTTCTTCTTACTGACTTGGGCACTGAGCTTCTTTCAAAACACCTGACCGGTTGCCAACTAACCCTCTTAGTAAGTGAGTTACACTGCTTTCTACTGTAGTTAACAGGGAGAAACTAAAATCACACAACCTACTTTCAGTTCAATTCAACTCAACTCACTGCTTGAGGCTAATCTGTAAAGGATCAATAACAAAACAGTTACCTGTGAGTTTATTTTACTAAGCATTCGGCTGTGTCGATCCATTTCATAACTAGAATTGTTAAACATCCCCAGGGAAATGGCGGTATGCATGCACTTCCACATGAGATCTGCTGTGCTACACTGGAGATGTGTGATTAAAAAATCAATTTAGAATAAGCATTCTATCAAAGGGCACTTGTAGTGAGCTGACAAATTCAACAACTTGCCAGTTAATGCAAGGCATATGCCAATAGGCAGATTATAATCCTGCCTATTAAATAAATCAAGATCCAGAAAACAAAGGGGACCATTTTTGTCATAAGCCTTCTGCTAATGAATACACAGCAACAACAAAATAATTAAAACCAATTTCATCTTCAGAGAATATCCGTCAAGGTTCGAGAGCTGGCAGGTGATGGGGGCCATGTATGAGCCCCTCTATTTTAAAGTTTTAGTAACAGTGGGAGGAGCTGAGGCAGCTACAGAGTCACAGAGGTTGCAAAGATGAGAGAACTAAGAAAACATTTAAAGCCAGGGATGATGCTTGGCTCCCAAAAACAGATATTAGGCAAAGAAGTTCAGAATTTTCTCCTTAAGCCCAAAAAGGCTGATAAGGAAACATCTCCCTTAGCAGGGAAAACATTACAAGAAGAAACATATCAGGGAGTTCTCTACAGCTCCTCAGGTACAATGGAAGAACCTACAAGCCTATTACTTCTAAAATAAAATAAAAACTCCTATTTGCTATTTAAATGTCTTTACAACTTAGCCCCTTCCTATCTTTCCAGTCTTTAAGAGAGTATTTCTTTTAGATACATTCTACAATACAGAGATCCTGGACTACTGGTGTTCCTCACACAAGACAGTCCAGTATCCATCTCTGTGTCTTTGTTCTGGCTGTCTCCCATGCCTAGTACATTCCTCTTCCTCTTCACTTCTGCCTTTAAGATAACTCGACCTTCCTTCAAGAATCACTTTAATGCCTCCCTCCCAGGAGGTCTGCTCCCTTCTCCTTTCCATCTGCTAGCACCTCCCCTCTAAGCCAAGGTTTTTTGTCCCCCCCCCCCCCATAATGCCTCTGGGTTGGTTATCCCTCTTACACCTCATTTGTAAAAGATAATTACTCTTTTAGGTGTACTTGAATGGTTTTACTTTTTGAAGTCATATCATACTCAGGTCTACCCCAATCTTTTTTATAAGTTACCCAATTACTGGTAACAATCTTAGACATAGGTTTTACATTTTTCATACATAAAAGGTCAACATTCTGTACTTATGTAGTTGTAATTGGTCATTGGTAAGCACCTTATGTTTCTCTTGGCTCTTGTATGTTAAATCTTCTACTGAGTTCACTGTTTTTTTGTTTCGTTTTGTTTTGCTTTTTAAACAAAGGCCTGAAAGTCTGACAACTGATCAAATATCCTTTTTTTTTCCATTCAGAATTATGCTTATCTTTGCTGAGTATGATATTTTGGGTTGGAAACCCAGTTCTTTTGCTCTTCGATGTACAGTGTTCCAAGACCTGAGATCTTTTAGTGTTGTCACTGCTAGGTCTTGTGTGATTTTAATTGTGGTAACACCATATGTAAATTGTTTTTTTCTTGTTGCTCATAATATTTTGTCCTTGATCTGGGGGTTTCAAAATTTGACTATAATATTCCTGTGAGTTTTTCTCATAGGATCTCTTTCAGGTGGTGATGGATGGATTTTTTTTCTATTTCTACTTTCCCTTCTTATTCTAATGCTTCAGGTTAATTTTCTTTAATTATTTCTTGTATTACTGTATCAAGGGTCTTTTTTTTTTTTTGCTTTTAGGCAATTGGGGTTAAGTGAGTTGCCCAGGGTCACACAGCTAGTAAGTGTCAAGTGTTTGGTCTGAGGTCGGATTTGAACTCAGGTCTTCCTGACTTCAGGGCCAGTGCTCTATCCACTGCGCCACCTAGCTGCCCCAAGGTTCTTTTTTTTTCAATCAGAACTTTCAGGTAGTCCAATTATTCTTATGTTTTCTCTTTTTGATCTGTTCTCTAGATCCATCATTTTTCTTATGAAATGTTTCACATTCTCTTCTATTTTTTTATTCTCTATAGTTTGGGTTTGGTTTTTTTAATTTCTTCATCTCTTAGAACTTCGCTGGCTTCCCCTTGCCCAATTCTGATTTTCAAGGAGTTATTTTCTTCCTTAAGATTCTGTATCTCCTTTTCTAATTGGTTGGCTTTCTCTCCATAACCATCTTGTTTTTCTTGTATTGTTCTTAGTTTTCTTTTTAGTTTTTCCTCAGTCTCCCTCATTTGATTTTTAAAGTCTTTTTTAAGTTCTTCAATGAGTTCTTTTTGGGCAGGTGGCCATTTGACATTACTCTTTGGGGTAGAAGAGGGTTTCTTTGCTTCCATACCCTCCTCTGAACCTGATCTTCTCTATTCCTATAATAGCTCTCTATGGTTGGATTCTTTCTCCTTTGCCTGTGCAGTTTTTTTTTTTTGTAATAACTTCTAGTCCTGGGGAATGGGGTATGGTGCTTCACAAACCCAGGGGTTTTTAACCAAGGGTCCACGGACTTTTAAAAAAATATTTTTATATATTTCAACATAATTGGTTTTCTCTGTAATCCTATGTGTTTTGTTTTTGACATTTATAAACATTATTCTGAGGTGTCCATAGGCTGCCAAAGGGACACAAAAAGAAGCCTGCTGCTCTGTATTTATTTTGTATGGACTAATTTATATACCCTTGTCTCCCCCATTAGAATGGAAGCCCTCTCATGGCAGGAACTGTATTTGCTTGTTCTTTGTATCCCAAGTGCTTGGCACCTGGAATCTAGCAAGCACTTAATGAATGCTACTTTGATTGACTGCCCTCCAAGACCAGGCAGAGGAAATTGAATCCCTTTATCATCTACCATCCCTTTGAATACTCCAAGGCAAATATTATGTCCCTTGGAGTCTTTCCTACTATAGACTAGAGAGTCCCAGTTCCTTCTGCTGAACCGCACATGCTATGACCTTGAGGCTTGTTGGGCACATTTAGGTTGTAAGCTCCTTGAGGGCAGGGACTGTCTTTTGCCTCTTTGTATCCGCAGTGCCTATCACAGTGCTTGGCACACAGTAGGTGATCAACAAACATTTATGAACCTGTCTCCTTGGGACACGTCAGGTTTATCAATATTCTTCCTAAAATGGTACCTGACTAAATGCAGTGCTTCAGCTATGGTCTGACCTGTGAAGAAAATGCTGGGACTGTTATCTACCTTGAACACTATACCTCTCCTAATCATATTAGCTTTTTTGACTGCCAACTCATTATGTTGACTCATTTGGAGCCTGGAATACACTAAAACCTCAATTCAACAGCTGAGGAAACTGAGGTCCAATGAGATTAAGATATTAAATTCAATTCAACAAATATTTATTAAGAATCTACTATAATAAGGTAATGTCGACTAATAATGGTTTATTTTTTAATGTTAAGGGACACGAAGTTTCCTTTATTTTTCATCAGTTTTCTTGTCTATAGAAGAAAGGTGAGGGCCAGCGAGGTGGTGCAGTGGATAGAGCACCGGCCCTGGACTCAGGAGGACCTGAGTTCAAATCCGGCCTCAGACACATAACACTTATTAGCTGTGTGACCCTGGGCAAGTCACTTAACCCCAATGGAGGGGGGAGGAGGGGGGGAGGAGGAGGAGGAAGAGAAGAAGAAAGGTGATTCTCAAAGTCCCTCTGCCTAACTGCTAGGATCTGATGATGTTTTACAAACTCTAGGACGTGAATCACGATGATGATGATGATGATGATGATGATGATGATGATGATGATGTCTGAGGACACAGATTCCTGAGATGAACTCAACGGACAGGCACCAGGAGGGTCAACTCCTCAGATATCTCCTAATTGTGCAAGGTCACTTAATTTCTCAGAGCTTCATTTTCTTCAGCTATAAAAAGGGGATATGTACAGTAGCCACTTTACAAAGTTGAGATGAAACCCAAACTCTGAAGTGCTCTGTGTGAGAAATTGCTGATGTTCTCCTTGAACCATGAGTGGTAAGAGGAAAAAAAAAAAAGATAGGAAGCCCAAGATGGCCATAAGCCCTGACAAAGGAGATGAAAGAAGAGGCTGGGGAATAAATAGGGTTAGTTTCAGCTTAGTTAAGTGAGAAGATCACTGACAGCTAGGTAGCACAGGGGGATCTTGGAGAGTCAAGAAGACTAGAACTCGAACGCAGCCTCAGAAATGTAGCTGTGTACCCTTGGGTGAGTCACTTAACCTCTATTTGCCTCAACTGTCAAATGGGGATAAAATAACATCTATCTCTCAGAACTGGTGAAAGGACCAAATAAGATAATACCTGTAAAACACTTGGTACAGTGCCTGACACATAGTAAGTACTATATAAATGTTTACTCCCTTCCCTTCTTGGAATCAGAGGGCCTGGATTTCAATTTTGGCTCTGCTATTTACTCTATGACCTTGGGCAAGTCATTTAAATTTGGGAGGAGGGGTGGGCCTAGTTTTGCTATTTGCAAAAGGAAGAGATTGGCTGAACCAGATGATTCTTAAGTCCCCTTCTAGCTCTAAGCGGATGACCCAGGTTCTTTCCATTAATACCTTGAAGTCAAAATGAATAACTGCTACAAACTATTTAAGGCAGGCAATCACACTGTGTGTAAAATAAGGTGTTCTTACATGTAATTATGGTTACTTTATGTGCCATAAAACCCCAATGACTAGACCAGTAAGATCCACTTCAAAAAGGTGGCCGCTCAGAATAAGCTAGTTAAGAACAGAATATAGAGGAATAAGCCAATCAAAGGTCTTTGAATACCCTCATACTAAAGCATATACACATGTTTAAGGGGGTCTTAAGAACATGCTTTGAGAATGGGGGTGATAGAGTTCAGTTATTTGTAAGACTCCTAGGATAGCATTTAAGGATCACAGGCAATTAGGTCAGAGACTCCATTCAAAAACTCCAAAGCTTTTATGATACGACAACATAATGATATATCATGTCCTTGTACGTTATTGTGGCTCTATAGAAAAACTCATAAACAGACCTCCAGATTCATGAGGTATTAACGAGAGCACCAACATTCAGGATATTTATACACAAAAGATAATCCTTCAAGTTTTAATACATGCAGTGAGAGAGGAAAAAGAAAATAATATGTCAGCCAGGGAAAAGAGTGTTAACACTGGACAACAATCTTATTTAATTCACAGTTAACAAATAACACACTTACATTTCTGAAACAGAAATGAGGCGCGGCCTCGGCACCATGCTGTTTCTGATAATCTGCCCAGTCAAAGTCCTGGCCAGTATAACCTGCGTGAGACAAAACAGATAAAAAAAATAGTACTTGTTAGGCCAAACTAGAGACAGTCAAATAGTTTGGTGACACTTCCATTGCTGAATGGATAAGAGATATAAAACTAGCCCTGATAGGCAGATGAATTTCAATCAACCAAACCATAAACATTTATTAAGCACCTACTATGTGCCAGGCACTCTGCTAAGCACTAGAGATACAAAAAGAGGTAAAATCCCTACCCTCAAGGAGCTTATAACCTAATGGAGGAGACAGCATGCAAACAAATATATACAGAGCAAGCTATATGAAAGATAATTAGGAAATAATTAAAAGAGGGAAGGCACTGTTATTAAGAAGGGTTAGAGAAGGCTTTCAGTAAGTAGAAAATGGGATTTTAATTGGCACTTAAAAGAAGCCAGGGAAGTCAGCAGTTGGAACATTCCAGGTATGAATGACAGCCAGAGAAAATGCTCAGAGCTGAGAGACAGAATGTCTTGTTCACAGAACAGCCAGGAGGCTGGTGTCACTGGATTGAAGAGCAAGTGTTGGGAGTAAGTTGTAAGAAGATTAGAAATATATGAAGGCTGACTGCACTTGAGGTCAAATAGGACTGACTATGTTTGCAGTAGCACACTGGCTCAGTGGGCAGGCTTATATAGGAATGAAGAGCTTAGAGAATCTGGTGCATAGTCCATTCATTTCAAATTTTTTTCTTAAAAGAAAACAACCAAGAAGTTAGACTACATTAACTTCTTTTTCCTTTAAAAGCAGTGATTCCCTGGTTAAAATAAAGGTCAAAATTCAAACCCTAAAGTGTATTTGTAACCATTTAACTGCTACACCCTCCAAACTGTCCCAAGTTAATAGAGAAAAGGTTAACTCCTTTAACACCTCTTCTCACCCTGTTTTTTTCTGTTGACCTAGATGGTCCATAGCCTGATGCCTTTACAGGTATCTCTGACCTTCTTAAAGGAAAATGAAGCCCTTCCATTTACAGCTTGGTCTCAGTTGCCTCACTTAGAGTTTCTCTCTCTTGTTGACTGGTTCTTCCATTTTAAAATCTGGCTTCTTAAAAGGACGAAACCCTTTTTCCTTCCACTAATGAAAGTTTTTCTTTTCTTTTTCTCTTTTTTTTTTTTTTGAGATTGTTTTGATTTCTTTGTGAGCTTCTATAATCATCGGGCTTTGGAGATTGCCTTCTCAAGTCAAAACACTTATGTTTACAAAAACAGAGGAATCAGCTCAAGATGAGGTGGTAGCATTGTGGGATAGAAAGAACACCATTCTTGGAGTAAGATTTAGACCAACCTCTAAGTCTTGGATCTGCTACTAACTCTCTATAAGTTCTTGGACAATTAAACTTTCTTAGCTTTAATGTCCTCCTCTATAAAACAGAGAAAGTTCAGATAACTGATGGTCTGAAGGACCCTTGTAGGCCTAATGGTCCTAATGTAAAATGATAGATTGATTTCCTTTGCCTGGCTTAGCAGAACACTTGCTTTTTCCTTTGTGCAGGGTTCATTCCCTTCTTTCTTCATGAGAAAAAAAGAAAAAATGGACAAGAGCCACTTTAGCCTAGTATACTTCTACACTATCACCCTCTAAGGTCAGTATGAAGGATGTGTAATGTACAGATATGTGAGTTACTATTATGGTTCCCTGGGATCTTCTGGTTAAGAAGTAATATATTTCTTAGACTCAAGGATGATGACTATTGTCATGAATTCTTAAAGTCCAATTGGTGGCTTCTGTTTTTATACCACAGAGATCTGTCAATACCTCCCAACCCCAACATCACACATACCCCCAGCAAAAGAAAAAAATATATATATATATATATAATTAAGCAAAACCAACACACATACACACAACCATCATTAGACAGCATATGCAATATGCCAACATAAACAACATTCTACACCCATAGTCCCCATCTCCCTTTCAAGAGGAGGAAGTGTGTTGCATCTGGAGAAGCCATTTTCTAGAGATGGAAGAGCCTATAAACTTGATGGCAAAAAAATAACAACACCAAGAAATAATTATATTATTTATTATCATCCCTAAAAGGCAAAGTATGAGAATTCCCTTAAACATAAAGATCTTTGAAACCTGATAGGCTTAGTGTTTTAACAGACCAATTGGCTAACTTTAGATGAGAAGCATTTTAATTCAGGTTTCACTGTTGGTAGGCAAGGATTGTGAAGCCCCCAGGAAATAAGTGCTATTTGCACAAAGAATAAATGGCCTACAGGAAAATGAAAATCTGAGCATGTAAATTATCTAGAAAAATTAAGAGTCCACATCTTGAATTCAGCTATGCCACCCTATCTCTTTCTTTCTGTATTTTTTGGGAGGAAATTGGGGTTAAGTGACTTGCCCAGGGTCACACAGCTAGTAAGTGTCTGAGGCCAAATTTGAACTCAGACCCTCCTGACTCAGGGTCAGCTCTAACCAACTTCACTATCTAGCTGCCTTGAGCCACCTTATTTCTTAACATCAGTTTTCTTATCCAAATCTCCTTCATTTGGACACTCTGATCTCCTGCTTTATTTCTGCCATGACTACCCTATCCATGTCTGGAGTTATTTGGATCTGGTGACTGTTATCCCCTCCCTGGGTCTGTCTTATGGACCTTTCTTGCAGCCAGGTCCCCCTCCTCCCTGGGTCTCTCTTATGGACCTTTTCTGCAGCCAGGTCTCCCTCCCCCACGCCTCTGCTCAGGCTTCTGTTTTCCCATATTAGTTATGAGGGTTACAACTAGGAGCTGAGCTAGCTCACAAGACCACTAGAATAAACCCTGGTGCCTTAATACTTCAATTAATACGAAATCATGGAACGTTTAACTTAAAAATAAGGTTTTAACAAAGAAAAATACCAAGAAATCTTCAATGTCTTATATAGCTTGGCTCTGTTATGGGCATAACCACAATGATGTTCATTTTTTATTAAGTAACTGTTCAGGAAAGGTACAGGAGTCGAGTACCTATGCCCCCCCCCCCAAACATCTGGACACAAAATGATTCACAATAATGACTTAGCTCTCAAAATAATAATCTTCCCATGGGCCTTAACGCAATTCTTTCTCCATCTAGCTTTACCTATTTTTCCTTGGATACATTTGATCCCACAATTTGATGTAATCTGAGGCCTCTGAAAACAACTACCTTTTCTAAGAATCAATTTCTCTTCCCTTCCATCTATGTACATGTTGTATCCCCCCTTGCAAGCTCGTTGAAAAAAAGGGACTCTTTCTAATTTCAACCCAGAAACTTGGTGCTTAATAAATGTTTTTTATTACTACTGAACTGAATTGTAAAAAGCTAGGTTTCCATTCTATTCCTTTTGCCTAGAATCCTATCATGCCTACTTCATCAGGGAGTCTCAGAGTCATGGAATTATTCAAGTTGGAAGGAACCTCGAGTGATTATTTGGTCCAGCCTCTCACTTCCAGCACTGGCAGCTCATTACCATGCCCCAGGAACAATGTCGTTTCCTTGTGCTGCACCACCTGCTTAGACTTCTCCTTCCTCCCCAAGGGACCTCAAGTCACTTCATCTCTTTAAATTCCTCTTCCTCTAGGCTTGATAATGAGCTCTTTTTGTAAAGCAGTTTTGTGACAGCTCCTGGAGAACTGCTATATAAAAACAAATTGCTTTGGATTGTATTATAAAGAGACAGGGGTCAATTACCCTCATTAATCAACAAAGACAGAACAAGAAGTAACAAGGCTTAACTGAAGTCGGAAAATGTGTTTAAAACCCTGTAGAATAAAAAAAAAAGCATGGGGAAAAACTTCAGAACTATTAGAATTTGCAATAAGCAGTCAGCAGAGCCTGTTAAAGCACAGTAGCTTCAGCCAATACTGATTGATCAGGATGCAGTTCTGATTGGCACAGGTCCAAAGGGGATAAAACAGATCATCCATTTCCTTAACTACCAAAATAAACTGACATCAGACAGTTCCACAATTTTGTTACCTGTATCTTGGAGAGCACTCAAATTATTCAAAAGATTAAATATTGATTCAGTATCTACTATGCATTCAGTACTGCAGTAAACACTATAAGAGATACCAAAAAATAGCAATAATAATGATGTAGAGGGGGAAAAAACACTAATGATGTAGAGTTCACATTCTAGCACCACTATTTGCTACCTGTGTGACATGGATCAAATCTTTTAACCTCCCATGAGAATGAGTTGGACAACTCCTTGATGTTTTGAGGTGGGAATCACATTACTGTAAGATTTTTTTCAGTCGTGTTTTACTCCATCAAATCAAGCGATTAAAAAATATATATACATACATATATACATACATACACACACACACATATACACATACTACATATATATACACATGTTGTATATATATGTTATGTGTGTATATATATACACAAACACACACACAAATACATATATACACATATATATACATACAACACCCATACACATACACACACACACACACACATACACACACACACACACCCCAATCAAGTAATAAACATCATGGGATCCTAAGTAAACAGCTATTGATATTCTCTTTCTTTCTCTCTAGCAATGGGGTTAAGTAACTTGCCCAGGACCACAAAGCTAGTAAGTGTCCGAAGCTGAATTTGAACTCAGATCTTCTTGACTCCAAGGCCAGTGCTTTATCCACTGTGCCACCTAGCTGCCCCTTTTGATGTTTTATTATTAATAGTCTTTTTTTTAAAAAGTAACAATAGGGGTAGCTAGGTGGCACAGTGGATAGAGTACCGGCCCTGAATTCAGAAGGACCTGAGTTCAAATTCAGCCTCAGACACATAACACTTACTAGCTGTGTGACCCTAGGCAAGTCACTTAACCCCACTGCCTAGCCCAAAAAACAAACAAACAAACAAAAATAAATAAAAAATAAAAAAGTAACAACTTTGGCCTCTTGCCCTACTTCCACCTTTCTGTATTTTGTGAATGAATCCCTCAATCACAATTTGTCAATCGATTCTTCAATTCCTTACAACTGTGTCATCACTCCCAGGACTGATCTCCTCTATAAACACTACATCTATTCCAGCTGTCTTCTTGGGTTTTTTTGTTCTCTTCAAATCATCCGAAAAATGGGTCAAAGTATGAGACTCTACTGTCCTTGATAGTGAAAAAAGTTTGGTATAAAAATTTTTGTGGATCTTTATAGACCATCAAAATCTTCGAGATCCTTAGCATTCTTTCCATCTACTCTGCTGCCATCAAATACAGATGCCAATAGAGGGGCTCATGAACTGTAGTAATTACACAGGACTGAAAGCTAGTTTAGATTTTTGTTTCATGGGGCCAAAGAATTCATCAGCAAGCGGTATGCCTAATGATATAAGCATCTCTGTTCTTAGCTAGACTGGTCATCAGAAAACAGGATTATCTATTGCAGGAGCATATTCAAAAGCCTTTCTTCCACAAGCCCCAAGACCCAGTCACACTCACATACTTACCGTTCCCCACACAAGACACCTACCTCCCAACTGCATTTTCACTGTGCCTGGAACACTCTTCACATCTGCAATCTGGTTTTCTTCAAAAAAATCAGCTAAAATCCCACCTTCTACAAGAAGCCTTTCCCAGCTCTCTTTAATCATTGTGCCCTTCCTCTGAGATTAGCTCCACTTTTTCCTACCAATTGTTTATCCACAGTTGTTTGTATCTGGTCTCCCTAACTAGACCATGAGCTCTTTGAAAGTAAGAACTGTCTTTTGTCTTTCTTTGTATCCCCAGCACTTCATAGAGAGCCTGGCACATGATAAGCACTCAATAAATGCTTGTTGACTTGACTTCTCTGCATGGCAGAATCTGCCTGAGCTTGTCTTCAAGAACCCAGGATTACTTCCACAGTGTAATGAGGTATTGCTGTACCATGAGAAAGGAGAGTGAATGATAAAAATGTGATAATAGGAAAAACAGTCTAGCAGTGATCTGCAAGATGTATGGTAGAAGGAAAGGCCTAGAGTCATGAAGATGAACCACAGATATTCAAAATTCCAAGTGTTTAGTAAGAGAACCTAGTTTCAGCTGTGTGACCCTGGGCAAGTCACTTAACCCCGACTGCCTCAGAACAACCACCACCACCACAACAAAAAAAAAACAACAATGAAAAAAAGAGAGAGAACCTAGTCTAAGGTAATAGCAGTACGAATGGTAAATCAGGAAGGATCTATTGCCAATAACCATGGATTCACTTTGGATTTAATGCCCAAATCCAATGAATTCTCAAAGCTAAACCATTACTATTGTGATGGAGAGGGACCGAAGATAAAGTAGCCACTCTTGCCATATACCTTTCTGGGACTAGCAGCCTCAGTAACTATATGTCTATCCTCAGCAAAATTACCACAGACTTTCTTCTCCCCCCAACCGAATTAACTGAATACTTGATAAAATGATATTCTACTTGTTCTATGCCTTGCTAACTTCCTCTGGCTATTTTTAACCAAGAGAAATACTTAGGTGGGATATGAGAGATGTCTTCAAATACTCAAAAGAAGAACTGAATTAACTCTTTTAAACTACTTCTAAGAGCAACTGAGCATTTACTTAACCAAGAATAAGAAATGAAATATACACACACACACACACACACACACACACTCTTAATTAACATTTTCTTGCAATAAAACATAATGGTTCCAAACAGTTAACTCAACCATTCCTTCCCTCTTCTCCCTCCACTCCCTCTGTCCAGATAAGGAATCATACTTTTACCTGTGGGTGCTCTGCCCAAAGGAATATAAATTCTGATATCTGAAACCTCTCAAGATACCTGGGGGTTTCCAGTCCTTCTGAACTACATCTCTTCTGGATGGCTCCAGAAGAAAAAGTGGAGCTGGTGACCTTGCACAGCCCTCCCTCGCTTAAATCCAATTCACTTGCAAGTCATGACAACACCTTCCTGACGTCGTGGTCCTCTCCCAGAAATGAAGGACAAACAACACCACCACCTCTCTTATGGCTCCCCACATTTACTCTGGCAACCCTTGACGGTTCCCGGTCAGCCATTATTCACACAAGCAAAGGCATTATTTCAATGTGGATCAGACAAAACACAAATCAAACCACCCACCACATCCCCCAAATCAAAGCAAGATGTCAGTGAATACAAACCCTTGGGTGGTGTGAGGTTGACTCCATTTTTAAGGCACCACTGTACAGGTAAAATCCCTAAAGAGTCTGCATGGCACAGCATTGAGATTTTTTTAGCTTCTGGTCTCAAGTCATCAATAGTCACTTGCAAATAATGATTGTTAAAAACCTAAAGGTAAAAAAAGGAAGTCAAATGTTAGTCTTATGTTACTGAATCTTTAGACACTAAAATATTGGCACACTTCTATGCACAGGAAGCCAATGAATGTCTTTGATGGGGATGATTTAATCAGAAATTATTATCTTCTATGGGTGTCACTGAATTGTTCTAGTTGTCAAAGAAAGTGGAGACCGTCATCATGACTTTTTTTCAAAGAGAAGACTTAAAAGTACCTGCTAAATTTTTAAAAAGGTAAAGAAGAAAAAAATAAAAGGAAAATCCTACATATACAAAAGAACCTAGGGTGGGAAAGACTGTTTCAACAGAATAGGGAAAATTAAGAAAAACATAGAAGCAACTCACTTAGAAGTTACCTGAAGGAAAACTGAGATTGACATAGAAAGATCTGTCACTTGACCAGTCAGCAAGCATTACTATGTGAAAGGCACTGTGCTAAATTCCAGGGATACAAAGAAATGAAGCTCCCGGACACATGGAGCTCCCATTGTCATGGCGGAGGCAAGAGGACAAACAACCAGACTTAGGTTATAAAACATAACATAAAGTGGAGTTAATCTCAGCGGAAGACACTAGCAGTGTCTTGTAGAAAGATGGATATGACTAAGCTAAGTCTTGGAGGCAGCCAGGGAAGCCAGGAGGCAGAGGCAGGGATTCTAGCCATGGGGTCCCACCATTGGGAAAGAACAACAGAAAAAAGAGTAAGGGGGAAAAAAGAGAAAGAGATGAGGCCAATGCATACAAGCAGGACAAAAGGGTCACGTGGCACAGCTGTCCCAATGCTGGAAAGCATGAAAGATTAAGAGAAAAGAAGAGTCAAACGAGGCCAAAAGGTTAGCAATAAACTCTCCCTAACTTGTCAGGAGGGCAGTGAACAAAGACCTCCGATTCTGAACTACAAAAGTCACCTGGCTGAGGAGGTGAATTCCTGACCAAGGTAGGCTACTTAGAACCTTCATGTACACAATGCCTTAGGGCATCAATTGACTGGTCCCACAATTATGTGGTATTCTTCAGGTAATATCACTAAAAATAAATGTAATAATAATTCAATTGCTAAGCAATGACGCTAGAATTTCACACAGCTATTGAGAGTTCTTAAGAGGCCAGCTAGTCCATTTCCTTGCATCCCATGTATATTACACACATGTCACAGAAACACAGAGCACCACCATCTAGTTCAACAAACCCTTATTTCCCAGATAAGGAAACTGAGGCCTAGAAAGAATAAGTGCCTTTGTCCAAGGTCACACAGACTATTGGTAATAGAGTCAGGATGAGAAGCTAGGATTTTGAACTCCCATTCCAGCATTCTTTCTACCAAACCATGATGATGTTATTTAGGACCACAAGGAAATGCTCCCTTTAATGCTCCAGCTGGGTGCTTTATTAAAAGTTCCAGTTCATGCCTGTCTGCATTTGCCTCTATTCATTACCCTGTTATATTTTTTCCTTTTAAACAATTTTCCTGAAAAGAATAGCCTTGGACAAAAAAAAAAAAATTTAAATTACGGTAGTCATAACAACATGGTTTATGCAATACTGGATAGGGCAATATTCTAAAACATTTCCTAAGAGGAAATGTATACTTGTAATTCTCCTGATATATAAGAAAATTCTGGCAATTTATGGTACTTCTTTACTGAAAGATGAGTCTTGGATAAACACATGATAATTACTCATAATAATTCTGTGCACTGCAAGCATAAAATGTTTGAGAAGTATGATTATGAGAGGGGCAAAATGTTAAGTAGGATGACTAATTGTTTTTTTTTAATCTTTGATACAAGGGAACTATACAAAAGAATAATGGGATGATAAAGAAAACAATAAAAATATTAGGGCAAACTTGCTCCAAATAGGATTGATTAATGGAAGAAAAATATTCCCATAAGTAAAACCCACAAAAGAAATATTTCCAACTAGATGGGGAATAAAAAGGATTCAGAAACATGTACAGACACAAAGCTATACCAATTAGAATTAGAATGTCACTTCCATTTTCACTCTGCAACTATGATTTAACTTCATACATAATAATGAACACTAAACCCAAAAAAGTGGGACAGAGGTGGAATCTTTGGTGCTACCAAGCTATCCCTAAAAGTTGTAGTCCCATTTTGTTATTCTTTAAGCACCAGGCGAAGGTGACATTGCAAAAATAGTCGTCTTTTAAGACAACTTGATAAATAATACAAATAAACCTGCAGCTGGCAATACTGTGTCAACTGTTGCTGTAAAGAAGGGAGACTGGCCAGGCTCCAACAAGCTATCATTCTTCAGTATTTGGAAAAAAATAAGCTAACCCTAAAAGAAACACAGTATGAAGTTCTCCAGATGGTGAAGCGGTCCAGGATATGAAAGGGGAAGTTAAAAAAAAAAACGACAAAACCTACATACCTTGGATTATCATTCCTAAATACCATTTAATTCCTAAAGTCTGAATCATGCTTCTCCTTCCTTTTCCTTCTTTTCCCCCCATCAAAAAAAAAAGGCATATCTTACACAATATTTGTAGTATCTGGGGACATAAAAACTGAAAGGAGACAGATGGGAAGGATTAGGGGCTCCTAGAAAGCTACTATTACTATTAGAAAGCCAAAAAACTCCTGGAGAAGAAAAGGTTAAAAATATGAACTTTAGAGGCATGGGCCTAGTTAAAATGACCAGAGGGCAATTACCTGAAATATTTCTTGCTTCAATACCTCAAGGTTCAATAATTTTGTCTCAGTGGGTAGTGCCTACATTAACACACATACCAACTTCATATGCCTTAGCAGACAGGTCTTTGAGATTTGTTGTGGCTGAAAAATTCATCACCCCGCAGCCAATATGTTGATGAGTCTATCCAAATTTAGCTAGGCTGTTCCTCAGGCGACAGACTGACAGAGCCAGTTGCTAGGCCCCTACTTGAAGCCCTTCCAAACTGGTAGGCTCTGCCAGAACTTGCTGGCAATAGCCTCCAGGAACACATGGTCACCTCCACACCATGATGGAGTATCAAGGCAGCAGTTTGGTGGGGGCACCCAAATCATATAAACTAAAGGAGAAAAAAAAAAAAGAAAAACAACAACTATATCCAAGCTATTACCAGGTAACAAACAAATTAATACTAAGGCGATAATATGTGATGCTTATCTACAAGCATAAAGTCTATGCATGAATGTCATGGGATTTTATATTTGATCCTGGAGGTAATAGGAATCCATGATGAATATTGGGTTATAATCCTTTCTCCAAGCTCAAAGACATTATTACCTTCAACACCTCTGCCTCATCCCAAGTAAGATGGGAAGGAGCCGTATCACCCTTCCAACCTTATACATAAGCCATCTGATGGGATTTACCCTAGACTACTCAAAGAATCTCTAGCCAAACTAGAAATAGTACCAGACTGTGAAATAGTAAGTCTATGTTTGTGTCTGCTAGATGGGCCCTTCTGCCTCTCCATGTGCAAAAAAACATTCCAGAGGCCTGACTTTGAGGTTGAACCACTTGTTTAATCCCTTTTTCAGGGGGCTCACCTTAGTCACTGATGCAGGACAGATATTAAAGGGCTCGCTCATATCCACTGCCTCCAGTTTCATACCAACTGTGAAGAAATGGCTTCGTAAATCCACATGATCCTGTTGAGGAGGGGAGAAAGAGAGTGAATGCAACTACAGTGCTGAAAATTAACTCAGAGACTGTCAGGATAATATTCTCAGACATTTTATTTGGCAACAACTGAAATCTGCCTGAAATAATTAACTCTCCTGGCTTCAAATTTCTAATTATTGCAACGTACAGCAACTTTGATTAATTTCTGCAGGCTAATAGCTTTTTTCCAGGAATTTGGAGGAGAAGGAGGAAGGGGTTTGTCCAAAGCAATCCTTGAATTTAGAAAGAATAAAGAACAAATTCACATAATACTGCTTTCCTCCTAATAGACAGGAAATGCTGTTAGTTAAAATACAGTTCGGTTATGCTAATAATAGTAATAATAAGAATAACAGCAACTCCTTACATTTATATAGCCCTTAAGGTTTATAAAACACTTTCCTTACCACACTGTGAGTTAGCTAAAAGCAATCATTCTTTTTTAAAGGCAGAAGCAGTGACATGGTTGAATTAGATGATCTTTTCTAATGCAGATCACAATTACCCTAGAGCATGGGTTCTTAACCAAATTTTAAAAAAAATTTGATAACTGCATTTTCTATGTAACTGTTTTCCTTTGTGTCCTATGTGTTTTATTTTATACATTTAAAAACTCTATTCTAAGAAGGGGTCCACAGGCTATGCCACAGTGACAAAGGGTCCATCTACCACAAAAGTTAAGAACATCTGCTCTAGTGATTATCTTATGGATAACAGTTTTATCCCCGTCTTCTGCCACTAAATATATCTTATTCCCCAATCAATCAATCAATCAATCAATCAATCAATCAAGAAACACTCGTCAAACACCTATATTGTGGAGATGTATGCATATAAAAATTGCTAATAGCTGCATGAACAAGCAAGACCTCACCTCTACTAAATAAGTTTATACATTTCCTCTTGTTTACTACTGGGATGCCAGATTTATAACTCCCTCATCACGATCCCCTTCAGAGTTTTGCTGCCTTCTCAAGGAAACAAATTCCAACATTCACTTTAGTCATATGGCTATAGATACAGCTGGCTAGAAGCTTGAAACCAGGATTTATCTTTCTGAGATGAAGGCCACCTCCATCACTCACAGGCTATATAAATAGAGGTGGATAAATGGATGTATTTACAGCCTAACCCATAGGAAATAATGGCCAGAGATAAATTCTGGCATTTCAAAATACTTACTTTAGTTGAGCATGAAGCACACACACTTATACAGGGATCTGTTTCCATTTTTCCTCGAATTAAAACTAGTCTAATTAATTTAGCTTTGCTAATATAAGTCTGACTACAACCTATGGAATCCACCAAATGTAGGACAGTAAAGCAGAGGCATCTACTATGGATAATACTTGATTAAGCAGATTTCTACAGACAATGCCCATAGGGAGGCTAGAGGGATCCTGAGGTCACCAAATTTAGGAATTAATGATCTGGTATCACTTCTAGCAGACTATTACCACCCAATATCAGCCCTTTCACCATTTCACTCCTCTCATAGGAGCAACAAATTATAAACATCCTAATGGCAACAGAAACCATTTTTCTCCTCAATCTTCTTGCCCCATGTGTCCCCCTAGAACTGTCTGGTACAAGGAAATTACTCCACAAATTGCTGTTTAACTAGACCAATCAATAAGCATTAATTAAGTGCTTACTATGTACCAGGCACTAAGGACTGGAGAATACAAAGACCAAAGTGAGACAAACCCCAAAGAGTTTATATTTCCATGCTAACAAAACCACACAAAGAAAAATGAACACACACACACTCACAAGTCACAATTTACAAAAGCTTAAATTAATTTAAATTTAATTACACAGTTTACATTTCATTGGAATAGAAAAGTGATACTTCCTAATAGTAAGAACCAGTCTACTTTTCAAAAATCATTAGCAAAAGGTGGCTCAGAAAAGAAAGATATAAGAAAAGAGAAATAATAATAAACATTAACATAGCACTGTGCACCAGGCACTGTGCTAAGTGCTTTACAAATATTTTATTCGATCCTCACAAACAACCCTATGGGGTAGGTGCTACTATTGCCCTTCTTTTACAGTTGAGGAAACTGAGGCAAGAAGAGGTTAAGTGACTTGCCCAGGATCACACAAGCTGGCAAATATCTGAAGCCAGGTCTGAACTTGGGTTTTTCTGATGCCAAGCCCAATGCCCTATTCATTGCACTACCTAGCTGGTATGAGGGATGATTCAGGAATATTAACATAAAACTTAAAACGAAGGCTACTAGTTAGTAGACAAGCAGTGCCTCATTAACCAGGCACAGATTCAATCAGCAAAAACTTATTAAGGGTCAATCTACTACGTATTAGAGACACAAAGAGAAAAAATAGTCTTGACCCTCAAAGAGATTACATTCTATTGGGGAGGGGAGGGAAGGGGGAACATATACATATATATAAGATTATACAAAGAGAAGGAAGCAGTGTGTTCCAAGCATGGGGGACAGCCAAGGGAGACAGGAGATCAAACTTCATGTCTAAGGAACAGCACCCCCCATCCCCGCAAAAAAAAAAAAAGGGCAATTTGGCTGGAACATGAAGGGGAATAATAAGTACAGTTTTCCCTTCCACATCAAGAGTTTCCCCATTGCAGTTTCAACATATCACGGGTCGGCACGAGAAATTAAATGGGAATTTTGGGGGAGTTCTGCAGAAGCTGCAGATGACGCATGAAGGCCAGCAGACAACAGTAAAAGTTTAGAAACTCAGAACGCATAAAATATATGTACGATACTGTACAATATCAATATATTTTATCTTTTAATACTATGACAATTCAGATTACTTCTCTGGTATGAAGGGAAGGCAAAAATTGTACACAGATTTTTCCAGATCGCAGTGGGTGCCACGCCCCTAACCCCCATGATGTGGAAGGGATAACTGATAAAGATAGAAAAGCAGGCAAGAGCCAGACTGTAAAGGACTTTAAATGCCTGACAGAGAAGTCTGTATTTTACCCTCGAGGTAATAAGGGACCACCGGAATTTACTGAGCAGAGGATTGGCATGATCAGTCCTCTACCTCAGGAACAGCATTCTGAAAGCTGCGGACAGGATAAGCTGGGAGAGAGACCTGAGGCAAGCAAAGCAACTCGGGGGCTACTGAGATAGTCCAGGTGGGAAAGGATGAGGCCCTGAACTAGGCCATGGTCACCAGAGCTGCTGGGAGTAGGCATCAGACCTGTACTAACAGACTGTAAGTACAGGCCTGATGACTGACTGACTATAACATGCCCGCTATCTGTGGACCAATCTAATTCTGTTCAGAGAGCCTTTTTCCCCAGGCTGGTGCAGGGTGATGAATTTTCTCTCCAGAGCAGCTCTTCATCTATTAATCATGGAAGGTTTGCAATCTGCGTCAATGGAGAGAGCAGGGATAAAATTACAGATTGTGAATGAGGCATTCTAGTCTGTCAACAGGCAGTCAACAGCACTGAAGTGCTTACTTATTATACATAAGTGGATCTTCCAAATTATAGAGATTTATGGATTTTTTAAGCACTAAAACCTTGACTTTAAATATTTTTGATGGAAATTTTTTGAAATTGCAATATACATATCCTTACTTTCTAAAAACAGCCTATGGTGCTAAATATAATTTAAACTAATGAATTGAAGTCATTATTGTGAACCTCAGTTGTGACAGGAGTGGATGGAAGAACCAGATTTGTGATTTCATTAAAGTACATGTTTCCTCCCCCCATTACAATGCCTTTATTTTCATCTTCCTGCCATTTAAAACTGTGCCTTACACATAGTAATAGGAAGAAGGACAGGACCTAGGGATTTAACTTGTATGGGGAATTCCCATGTGAGAAAATCACCTCTCTCTCCAGGTCAGCACCTTCTCTACAAGGTGTAGTTCTAGAACACAGAGTGTTGCAGAGAAACACACAGTTAGGATGTGTCAGAGGTGAGGCTCAGGTCTTACAGGCTTTGGGTCTGGCTTTCTATCCATTTACTGATTACTAGACTTTAATACTAATGGCGTTAGCTAGGTGGCACAGTGGATAAAGCACCGGGCCTAGAGTGAGGAAGACCTGAGTTCAGGTCCCACCTCAGATGCTTACTAGCTGTGTGACCCGGGGCAAGTTACTTAACCTTTTTGCCTCAGTTTCCTCATCTGTAAAATGAGCTGGAGAAAGAAATGAAAAACCACTCCAGTATATTTACCATGAAAACCTCACATGGTGTCACAGAGAGTCAGACACGACTGAAATAACTGAAAAATAATAAAAATACTAATAAAATATTTCAATAGCGCAACATTTTCTAATACACATCAACCTACTCTCTTAACAAAGGATGAAACTGATTTAAATTACATTGTTTATGACCTATTTGCTTATTTCTTTCCTCAAGATTTCCATCAGGGTTGACCTTTCATATTTGTTTACATTCTAGTTTAAACTTGCCTGCCTTGTTCTGGCCCAGAATGCTAGGTAGGACTTTTTATACTAGACTAGTCCAACCAGAACTACTCCTCTGATTTCAGACTTCAGATCTACTTTATCACGCAATCATGGATTTTGAGCTGAAAGGGAACTTAGAAGTCATCCTGCCCACCACCAACAACCCCATTTTACAGATGAGGAAAGCAAGGCTGAGAAATATGAAGTGACTTGCCTGGGATCACAAAGTTAGCAAAGTGGAACAGTCAGGATTAGGACCCAGGTACCCTTACACCAAATCCATGCAAGATACTATGCAAAGCCTACCCCCAGGTTTCCCTCACTCCTGTAGTTCTATTTTTCATCCTATGTTCCCAGTCTCATCCTGATCTCCCAGACACGGATCTACATCCTGTAACAACATGTTAGGAATACTTAGCATCTGCTGTGCTGTCTTATTTTAACACCCATTTGTCTGGTAGAGGGCTTCTCTTTTGGAATAAATTACATCAATTTAAAGAAAAATACTTCCTTAGAGGCCTTTCTGACTTCTGTGTTTATTCCATACAGTTATGGCTG